TGTGATTTATTTTACTTTGTAGGATTTTGAAATGCAGGCTCAATGTCACCTAACCATTATATTTTTTGATTTCTTATCTCGTCTCGGTCCTTTTTGTAATCTCAGTATTGTGTGTGCATCGTATGTATGACTTTGGTGATTTACATTGGTTTTTCAGTTGTAAAAAAAACTGCTTCAAATTTATTCTGATATCTTTGATTTTATTGTGTTAAATATTCATTGTATTTTTGAGGAGCAAATTTTAGAATAATTGTTTATCAGAGCTTCATCATTGATTTTTATTCATTTTGGCTGAATATTCCTAATACTGTTTCATATAGAGCATAACACGAAATTGCATTCATATAGCACGAAAGGAGAACATCCTAAGGTGCTGGACAGTGAGGGGTTTCCACCCGTTGGACCCGTTGGGGTTGGGATCAGAGAGAGGTAGAAGGCAAGGGGTTGGAGGAGGGAAGATAACTGAAGGCACAGTCGAAAAGGAAGGTCTTGAGACGGACCTTGATGGAGGCAAGGCAGGGGCTGAGGCGGAGAGACTCCAGGATGGAATTCCAAAGGGTGGGGCAGAAAAGCTGAAGGCCTGATTTTCCACCCTCCGGCCTCGATAGTGGAGCAGGCAGGGCAGGGGGTGTGGAGCAGGCAGATTGGAGGGAGAGGACGGGTTGGTGAAGTTTTAATAGGTTGCAGAGGTAGGGAGAAGCAAGACTGAAGGGCTTTAAAGGTGAGGACAAAGATTTTGAACTTGATCCTTTGGGGATGGGGAGCCAGTGAAGCAGGGCAAGGATGGGGGTGACAGGCTCACAAAGCTTACACTGCTCTTGATTTCATTCAGCTCGGCTCCAGTGTAATGATCAACATTTTGATACGTAGCAAAAAGATAAATTGAAATATTTTTATATTTAAATGGAAAATTATTTTAATAATAATAATAATCCTTGCATTTGATATAGCGCTTTTCACGTCTTCTAGACGTCCCAAAGCGCTTCACAGAATATACTGTGGGCGAACGCGGCAGCCAATTGCGCACAGCAGTGTTCCACAAACAGTCGGAGATTGAAAGTGACCAATTTATTATTGTTTTTGTTTTTTGGAGGGATTATTATTAGGCTCTGTGTGGAGTAAGGAAACTTGCCCAAGGTTTCGCTCTGCCGGGAATTGAACTCGGGTCTCTCGCTTGCAAAGCGAGTGCTCTAACCACTGAGCTACAGGACTCCGATTTTGTATGTAGAATGAATGTGATTTCAGAGGGAGAGTGGAATAAATAAAATTCTCATACTTGAAAATTAGTGCAGGTTTTAAAACATTTTGCTATCGTGGAAATACGAAACGCATCCTGTCTAAACACTTTGTAATGTTGGATCAAGATAGCTTCTCGTTCTTATGAAACTTTAGTTCTAATACCATAATGTAGTAATGGGTTTCAGCAAACAGGTTGCAAAATTCAAAGTGTTGTTGCAGCCATGTTTGTGATTAATCTAAAATAAACCTAGGAAGTAAATCTCAACCCGCAATGATAGGATTACTATTTCCTTTCTCTATGACCCTCATACACACTTTCATAACATCCAGGCTCGACTGCGCAAACTCACTGCTTGTTGGCCTCCCCAACTTCTCCTTTCATAGGCTGCAGATTATGCAGTTCTCTGCAGTCCGTTTCCTCTCCTGCACCAGACTCTGCGACCCTATCACCCATCCTCACCCGACTCCACTGGCTTCCCATCGCACAGAGGATACTGCTCAAGATCCTGATCCTCACTTTCAACGTCCTCCATGGCCTTGCTCCCCCCTACCTCTGTGACCTCCAAACCCCCTACCAACCTGCCTGCTCCCTTCGCTCAGTGGGCTCCGGCCTGCGTCATGTCCCCCGCCTCGCCCGCCCCACCATTGTCAGGCGGGCCTTCAGCCATTCTGCCTCCATCCTCTGGAACTTTATCTCGCATTCCCGCCCCCTCCCTTTCCTCCTTCAAGACCCGTCTCAAGACCCCTCTCTTCGACCGTGCCTTTGGTCATCCTCCTTCCTCCTCTGCCCTCCACCCTCCCCAGTCCCAACCCCCAGCTCGGATCTGAAACACTGATTGTCCAGCACCTTGGGATGTCCTCCCGACGTGAATTTTGTTTTTGTTGTTGCGGTGGAGAAGGAAGGACAGTTGTGGGTTGAACCTGATGCCGAGGATGTGCGCAGGTTCGGTAAGTTTGAGCGACAGACCAGGGAGGTTATGTGTGTTAATGGAATAATTGCGGCAAATAGTTGAAGGTACATAATCTTGAAACACAAACTTTGTGTGAACGAACAAATGTATCTGCTCATTTCTAGCTGGAAGGCTTTAGATTTTTTGCATTTGGTAATGCTGACTACAACAAAACTATTCTGATTAGTTACATGGCTTGGATTGACACAGCACAGCAGCACTGTGTTATTGGCGCAGGATCAGTTTTTATGGTGCATTGCCCTTGCTTTGTCTGCAGTCTACCATAGTTTAGCTACATTCGATGTATAGGAAAGCTTCAACTGCAGCAAGATTTAGGGAAAACCTTGCTGAAAAAATTCTATGTGGTGCTATGCATCATCCAGCAACAAAGGCAGCTTTCATTTATGGGAGTTTTTCAAAAAACATTTAGAATATATTCTTCTCTTTTTACTTAAATAATAAAACAACAACAAATTCACATTTATAAAGCGCCTTTTACATCGGGAAGACGTCCTAAGGCGCTGTACATTCGGAGATCATAATAATAATAATCCTTGCATTAATCTACAGTCTATAGTGATAAGTTTAATACATTAGTTCAATATTCAATGAACAATATATATAAAACGTGTATTAATAATGATAATAAATAATCCTTACATTTGCTGTAGTGTTGTTCATGTCAGGAGGTTGTCTCAAAGCAAATGCAGCAGTCATTTTGCGCACAGCAGCATCCCACAAACAGCCATGAAGTGGATGACCAATCTTATTTGGGGGTGGGGGGTGGTTGATGAGAATACTGGGAGAAACTTTTTGAATAGTTCTAAGGAAACTTCTTTTTAACATCCATCTGAACAGGCAGTGACAGGACCTCAGCTTTAACATCTCAATGCAGCAGTATATTGGAGTGTCATCTTGGATCACGAATTCAACATCCCGATGTGGGGATTGAATGACAACCTTCTGACTCCGAGACAAGAGTGCCACCAATTGCACTAGATTGACAGCACATATCTATAGCAATGCCTATTGCATATATCATATAACCACATCAAACTATCACAAAACACTACAGAGTATTTACCCTTAAGTGCAGTAACCGTTTTTGTAAGCAAGCACACCGGTCCAAATCCCTGGCTGAGCAGTGCCTTGAGACGTTCTCCCGACGTGAAAGGCGATATACAGATGTAATTTAATGTTAATGTTGTTTGCGCACAACAGGTCCCACAAAGACCCAGGAGGTCAATGACCAATTTAATAATAGTTTAATGGGGTCTATGTGACAAACAGGCAGACATGACCTGGTGTATTGTCTCATCTGATGGATGAAACCACTAACAATGCATAGGTCCCGAGACTATGAACTCAATTTCTGATGTAGAGCTTGATCTATTGACCCTAAGGAGAGAAACTGATAGACCGATGGGGTGATGCTGCACGTGTTAGTGGGTACACGTTGAACAATGCTTATGAGATTTCTTACAATAGGCACTGAATGGAGTATCACAGTGTATTGCCACTTGGAAGTGTGGGGGTCCTCTTTAGTACAAACTATATGAATTTCTGGAACCTTAGATTGAATCTAGTCCAGATCAATGGAATAAGTCTCCCTTGAGTTTTAAAGATTGTTTTGGGGTATGTTCTGTGGTGATGGACATTCTGTTAAGTGTTGTAATGCAGTGAATATGAGAAGGTTTTTAGTTTATGGTGGGAGAAAATACTGTATGTAATTTCTGCAAGTCTTGCAATTCTGATGGAAAGAATTTTCTGTTATGTGGTCCAGCATTTAGGATTTCTATTAATGCTCGCAAGCTGTAAAAAGGTAACTTAGCACTGTTCCATTGACCATATTTTTATTCCGAGCAGGGCGAAAGGTTGGGCAGGTTTCCTTACTCCACGCGGCTCTGTCTACCTAGCAATAAGTAGGAACCCGGTTGTTAGCCGATTGGCGGATCGCTTTTCCAGGGGTAATAATTCCTTCAAAAAAGTAAAATAAATAAAAATTGGTCACTTCAATTCACGACTGTTTGTGGGACACTGCTGTGCGCAATTGGCTGCCACGTTTCGCCCACAAAATATAGTCAATTCACTTTGCTGCGTATTCTGTGAAGCGCTTTGAGACATCTCGAAGAAGTGATAAGGCACTATATCAAATGCAAAGATTATTATTATTATAAATCAAATCTGAATTTCCCCAATAGCGACTTTGCTTGTAATCTGGTTTGACTTATTATTTCAGATAGATATTTAATTCTCTATTTTATTTTCCTTTTACTGTTATAAATATTAGCATTTCAAATTCCTTTTTAAAATGTAGATTCACCAGCTTGTAATTTGATAATGATTATACTGTATATTGTACCCATCCTATTTGTTTACGGATAGGAAATTTACACAGAAGTGATGGGAAGAAATGTTGTGATTTGCTCACAGGACTATTTACAAACTGACATGGTTACTTATGGTTGTTCAGGCTGAATCAATGAAAGTTCCCCAAAATAAGCATATATATATGTATGTATATAGATAGAAAGAGATCCGAAAAGGGGATTAATTTAAAAAAGGTTATTTAGAAAAACAGATAGCACTGGCAGAGACATAAAGGGCCGAATTGCTCTCTTCTGTGCAGAAAATGTCTGTTTTTTAAATCTCTTAAGGGATTTAAGTGGTGGATAGATTGATCAATCAATTATTTTCTAAAAGGTTTGTGAATTTCAATAATTATTTTGAAAAACAAAGATAGATTCTAGCTGTATTTTTTTGGATTTCTTGTACAATCACATAATTATTTTGCTTGTTTTTGTGGTTTAGGAGACTGAAGGAGATGACAGAGCAGGACTTGAAGGCGATGGTGATGGAGACTTGAAACCTGATTCAGACATTCCTGATGTTCCTCCGTCAAATGACACCACTCCAGAGGTTTTTAACAAGGCTCTATCAGGACTATCGTCAAGGTATTTTTGATCTGCCAATAGATCCATGTAGTTGTGTATCATATGGGTAGGGATGTTGTCACAATTGCATTGTGTGATTGATCAAATTAGAGAATACTTAATAATTTGCAACAATAAACTTCTTGCTGCCATTTACCAATATACCTTTTCCTCTCACTTTCGGTAGTTGTCAAATGTTCATTCAATACTTCTCAGTGTGTCTAAAATCAGCTCAGTGGGATAGTGGAATCAAGCAGGCGTTCTTAACACTGCACCATGGGAGCAGGTAGTCTGATATTCTCTGCAATGGAAACGCTGCATAACATGGAAGACCTTTAATAACAATTATTCCTGATTTGATGTAGCGTCTTTCACATCTGAATAACGTTTCAAAGCTCTTTGCAGGATTTACTATAAAGGGTAGCGACTGTATATTTTGTAGGCAAATGTAGTGTCAATTTGTCCACCACAGTGTCCCACAAACAATCATGAAGTGAATGAGCAGTTTTTATTTGTTTTTTATTTGTTTGCCAGGGCATTTGTAGAAACTTCTTCCTCCTTTCGAGTAGTGCCATGGGATCTTTAAATGTCCACCTAAACAGGTAGACTGGACGTTGTTTTAACATCTCATCCAAAGGATGGCACCTCCAAAAATGTAGCAAACCCCAGCACTGCATTGTAGGGTCACCCTAGGCTATATGTGGTCAGAGTTCCAATGATTCAGAAGAGAGTGCTACTAATTGAGCCGGGTTGACACATAGATACCATGGCACTATTCGTAAAGAGAAAGTGGGTTTTCCTGGTATGCTGGCCAACAATTCCCAGATGAAATTGATCATTTACTTCAGCACGGTCCAACAGGCGGCCCACAGGCCGCAGCCAGCGCGGCAGATGATTTTATCCGGCCCAAGACCATTTCCAGCATTCCAGCGTACACTCCCTCCCTGGTGAATGTCCTTCCAACGCAGCAGCAGGAGCTGGCGGTTGGGTGCAGCGCGGAGAGTGGAAATAATGCCGGCTGTTACTGCAGTGTGTACTGGAGCCGAGGGGAAGGCAAACGCATCTCCTTATCCACTGCGTTCTTAGGGGAAGGGGGTATTCAGGGAGGGAAAGGGGAGAGTGAGGGAGGGAAAGGGGAGAGTGAGGGAGGGGAAAGGGGTGAGTAAGGGAGGGGAAGGGGTGAGAGGGAGGGGAAGCAGGGATTGAGGGAGGGAGAGTGGGGAGGCGAAGTGGGAAGTGAGGGGGGAGAGAGAGCCTTACCATAACTTAATTGAAATCACTGTGCTTTAGTACATTTCGTTACCATGATTCAAGAGCTTTGTTTTTTTAAGATGTTTTGATTGGAAACTGTAAAGGATTAATCTTTCATACTTACGTTGCCCTTTGATCAGTTCTATTTAGATGCGTCACCAGGGTGAGGACGATTTTGCAAATTAAATTTTACAGCTTTTAAAAGTTTAATGTATCCCATTATTCTACTCTTGGTATTCGACATCTCTTGCTGGGATGCCTACTTGTATTATTCATGTGGCAGTGAGTGTCAGCAGGCCATACATACACATACACCCACAACTATTAGAGGGTGCTGCGGAGGGAGCAAGAACCCTATCAGGTTTTTTCCTTCCTGACCTTGGGAAGGATAGGCTCAATTTAGCCTCTCCCTACAGCCTCCGCTGAGACCAGCAAACTCAGCACAAGGGTTTAGACCTAGCCAGCAAGCTTCCAGTCCATAAGCTGCAGCTCTATCCACTTCACCATCAGTGCTGCTCCCCCTCAGCCCCAGTTCAAAAATCTTACTCTTGAGGCTTTAATAGTATAGAGTGGTTTAAATAGTTTGAAATTATTTAAAGTTTTTATACTAACACCAATTATCCTTTTTAATTCCATTGGCGGGCGGGCCTTCAGCCTCTCTGTCCCCATTCTCTGGAACTCCATCCCACACTTCATCTGCCCCTCCATTGCCTTCTTCAACACCCGTTTCAAGACCTTCCTCTTCAACCGTGTCTTTGGTCACCCTCCTACTCCTATCCTCACCGCCCTCCACCCTTCCTGATCCCAACCACTAGCTTGGGTGCGGATCCCTGACTGTCCTTGCAACGTGCGCTTGAAGTGAAAGGCACTATACACATGTAATTTCTTGGTGTGAAATGTGTTTGTAATGAGTGTTTTATTTTTCAGATGGAAGAACTGGTGGATTCGAGGGATTTTGTCGCTCACAATGATTTCATTTTTCTTTCTTATTATCTACCTGGGACCTGTAGTACTCATGCTTGTGGTTAGTATTTTCATATATAATTATCTTCATGGCTTTTTTTTTAAGCAGTGATTAATTTTTTTTTAAACTTGCGATGTACAAAACAAGATGGTCTTGGTTTAGATACCCAGTCTGTTGAGTTGCCTCATCTTAGTCAGGGCAGATGCAAAAGCAATGGTTAAACTTTGGCAGTTTTTACCCAGATCAATAGGGAATGTATTACTCGCTATGATTCATAGCATACTTTCTGTGAACCAAAAGCAGCACCAGCAGATTATGTGTTTCAAAGGAGATTGTATGGGAACTCGAGAAGGTACTGTGGAGGAGTCCACAGGACATTTGCGCTGTACTGGAGATAGCCTTACATTGAGGTCACCATGTAGTGAAATAATGGTATTTCAGTAAATGTGACTGGATTTTTAATCTTGACCTATTGCGTTTCTACAGGGATCATACAAGTAATTGAGGTCAGTGTTAACTTTCGAGCCAGCAGAATTGTTGTTGTTATTGTCTGTCTGACGTGTCGCAATGAGCTCCAACTTTTGTTCTTCTTTGTACAACATTTATACACCGGGTGAAATGACCAGTTATTAACGAGTTGTGTGATTCTGTTGCATTTATAGCAGCAGTGTAATCCGCACCTGTGCCACAAAGATCACAAGATTGGTTTAGATGAAGAGGGCCCTTTGGCCCATCCAATCTTGTCCCCCGCCATCACAGTATCAAGCTGCTTTTTAAATGAGTCCAGCGTACTTGCCCCAATCACCTTCCCCCTGCAACATCCTGTTCCAGTTTTTGATTACTTTGAGTAGGGAAATATGTTTCATTGTTACCTCAGGTACACTTACCAAGGTTAAATGATAATAATAATCCTTATATTTAAAATCACACTTTTCACATTGAGAGGATATCTCAAAAGTGCTTCACAGGATCTGCTGTAAACTACACTGCTCTTTTGTAGGTTAACATGACAGTCAGTTTGCCACCAGTAATATTCTGCAAACAATCATGAAGTGATTGACCAATTTTATCTGGGGGTTTGTTAGCCAGCACACCGGGAGAAACTTTTTTTTTCCCGAGTTGGACTGTGGGCTTTTTAATGTCCACCTGAACAGGCGGACGGGACCTAAGTTTAATGTCTCATCTGAAAAATGGCGCCTTCAGGACATTCTAGCAGGTTACCTATTGTCTGATTTCTTAAACTGCCCAATATGTGTATCCTACTTCATATGTGTGTGACCGTGGATTGGATTTGTTGGATTGATTTGTGTTGTGATCACAACATGGAGCAGTTTTTGCAACCTTCTGTAAAATGCTGAAGTAGGCTGTACATTTGTGCATGCTTTCAAGCAATCTAATCCATAACTGAAGGAGTACTGGTGTACTACTTTTAAATAATACATAATTTCCTGTTATTATCAGTTTTGTGCCAAATTTATATCCGTACCAGAATACATTTATACTAAGTTAGCAGCATACCATAGCAACAGACAAGGTTTTCACGTCTTAAAATCTGTTTATTCCTCCCTTTTAAGCAATTGAAGTGTTTTAATTTGCTTTCTTCGACTGCACAGGTACATTTATGCAAGTGAGGGGGAATTAAAACAGAATTGTTTTATTTTCTATTCCTGGAAAACATAACTCATTTTTTAATGTATTCTGTTTTAGGTTCTCTATGTTCAAATTAAATGTTTTCATGAGATCATCACCATTGGGTACAGAGTGTATCATTCTTATGAGCTACCTTGGTTCAGAACTTTGAGCTGGTAAGTATAGAATAAATACAGTGAAATTCTGTTAATTGAATGCTCAATTTGACAGTGAAACTTATTTTAAAAAATAAACTGTTCATGTAGTTGGATTTAACACTAGGAGACTCATCTCCTGGAGCTCTAAATTCTATTCAATAAACCAAACTATTGAATTATCCTATAAGTCAGTGTATTTTGTATATAATGTGATTACTTTTAAATGGGGAAAGAGGACGAGAGAAATTAGAGAAAATATTTGTTTTCAAGCTGTAAAAGGTGGTGTGATACCACACTTGAAACCTAATGCCTACAGTACAAAAGTGTGGTTTCTATTGGATGATTCTCACCGATGTTTCTTTTTGTTTAACTATCAGTAAGACATTAAGTGGTAGGACATTAAAACTTTGTCCATTCACCTTTGGATGAAGAAGCAAGAAACCTTTTCATACATTGATACAATATATTTTGTATCTTATCCAACATGGGTTTTTGGCTCCTATTAGTGCTGCCTTCCTGTCTGCGTTCAGCAGCTTGTTGGCCTAGGCTTGTTTATGTTATGCACTATTAGAAAAAAAATGTAAATTCTAATATTTTGCAAATATTGATAGTCATCTAGAATTTACATGGAGTTGACAATGTTTAAAATGGTGATTTAAATGGATAGACACAATTACGACATATTAAAGTTGTAATGCATATTGGAAATCAATACATCAAGGAAAAGTATCACTTATTCCAATCATTAATTTTATCTTTTAGCCTCTTACATAATTGAAGGTATCACATTATCGTGAAATCCATCCAGGAAAAAAGCTGTAGGTTCCAGCAAAATGCTCAAGAACTCTTTTAAATTCTATGATTAATTAACGGCATATTTTGATTGATTAATCTGATGTCAAAAGGCTTGATCCAGTTCTGAGTTAAGTGGGCAAAAGGAAGAAAGAGATGGGGGAAGAAGTAGGAATTGCAGTCAAAGATGAAGTAAAAACATCAGGAGGGATGGAGAAGACTTTTCTTAAAGGAGGAACAAGTCAAGGAAGTGGGAGCAATCTAGCGCCACATCATAAAGCACTTCAGGGCAAACTCTAGATGAATGTAACCTCCTGCACGGTATTCTTGGAATGGAGACCATTCCCTCAGAAATTTCTCCTAAAATCCCATTTTTGATTTCTAAATGCAATGTGAATTTATTCCTTGCCTGTGTAAATTCCTTTTGGTAGGTACATCCTCCTGTGTGTAAATTATTTCTTTTATGGAGAAACTGTTGCTGATTACTTTGGCGCTTTAGTGCAAAGGGAAGAACCACTTCAATTCCTAGTTCGCTATCATCGCTTCATCTCTTTTGCTATGTACCTGGCAGGTGAGTAAAATCTTAGCGCACAATTATTGTACATAGCATTGATTTTTTTTTATCAACCTCTTTAGTTGCATGAGAATTCGAATGCTTTTATTGTGAGCAATAAATCTAAATAGTTTTCTCGTGATGACAGACTGAATTCTATTACTACCCTCAATTGTCACAATCAACTTCCCTTTTCAGAATGGTTACTTTGAGTCTTCCCAACACAAGCAGCTTGTACTTTTGTACACTGACTGCCCTGGAGACATTTTCTTTCTGAGTAATCCAGCATGTACTGCATTAATGTTTATATTAATATTTGATGAGGGCTTCAAGATTTTGGTAGGATTAAGACTGCACTATTATCTACACAAAATATAAGCCATAACATTGGAAACTGAGTATAAAGTTCTAAAATTAACAACTTTCACCTTTGCCTTTTTGTCTTCTTGCTTTCATTGTTGAAATAGAATTTGTGATTCCTGTTAATGCAAAAGATTTGTACCTAGATGTTGTAGGAATAGTTAACCTCTCGTGTGTGTATGAAGAGTAGAAAGTCTGTGAATATTATGAATATTTTTAATCCTACTTTGGTAGTTTTTACCAAAATTAAAGAGAAATTAAAGCAAAGTTAAAGATAATTTTCAAGATTACCCTAACAATACCTCATTCATTGAAAACCAGTTTTGTGTAATAAAAATCAACATGAATGAAAATGAAAGTCAGTCAGTGTAACAACCTGCAACACTTTGGTTTAAAATGCTGCAAGTGTTCATAACAACATTTAAAGAAATTACATATATTTTTTCCTTGTGGACCTTTTCATTTGCTTTGAGCTACCATTTCAGTTCAGTATTCCAACAACAACAAGATTCCACTTATAGAGCGCCTTTCATGTCGGGAGGACGTCCCAAGGCGCTGTACAGTTGGAACAGATGTACAGATGGATTCCAACATCCATCTGGACCAATTTAGCTGTATGATTAATCTTGAGTAAAAGCAATCAACCAACATTTAATCCAATTAAACCTCTGTCTCTAATGGCCTATAATTTATTTATTTAGTACACTTTAATGTTTCTTCAATACTGTATTGCAGTTTAGTTATCCTGAAACTGTGAGAGTGTCATCATTTTCAGTGTGTCTTGGAATTGGTGCGCACATACGTTTTAACTGGAATGCTTGATTGAGTTTTAGCAGTTAAACATAGCTTTGGCAAGTTGACAAATAAACCAGTTTCTCCTTTATAAAGTCTGTAACTGACATTCATTTCCTGGCTCTTTTTGCAGTATAGAAACCCATTTTATAAAAGCAGAATTTTAAAAATGTTTCACAAAGAAAGTTATGCAGAGGACAACTGTGTTTATGCTCTATATTGACTGCAACTGTTCCGCCTGCTTTAGTTTGGATCATTTCAAACTCAAAATTTAAGCTTTTAATGTAATTGCTGTTTAAACCAGGCAATCAATATAACTTGTTGTGTAAAATACACAAACTAGGCGTAACATTATTTCTGCTACATGGTATATTTTGTTTAATTCATATTCCTCCAAGGAAGAAGGCATTGAGATTGGTCAATGTAATTACAACAAGCTATTCTGTGTAAACTCTATGGTTTATTTGAGATCAACTTTTATCTTTTCCATTTTCTAAAATTGTCATCAGTTCCATTTTTTAAGAGAGGGCTTTCATGTTTTAATTCCAAATGAATTTCTTTAAAATCCCCAAATGCCTTCACTTTTGTTATCTATATAATGAATGTGAAGAAGTAGTTATAAGCTAATGGTTCGTATGTGCTCTAAACTGTGAGAGCAAAGCTTTATAGTTGGAATCATGTAGAGGCTTGGCATTGTACTCTGATTTTTCTGGCATATTCTGTTTGTTTTATCTATGGTTTTAAAGATTCTTTCTTTTTTCTCTCATGCTCCAGTGCCATGCACCAAAAGAGGATGGATGATTCAGTTCCTCCTGTGTCCCTGCCAGTCCTGCTCAGAAACTGCATGCTGTCATGTATGTGGGAGCAATCCTGAGTGATCTTTCCCTCTAAATTTTCTATTTTTCCTTTTCCCTTCCTGTGGAAAAAATGGTTGTTCCCCAACTTAGTGTGTGTGAAATGCAGGTTCACACATACTTATGACCTAAAGATTTGTGGCTTCATATTGGAGCTGTTCCAACAGTTTGAATTTTGTTTTAATTCCATTTTTGCCAGGAGCAGCTATCCATATGCTCTGACATTGCAATCAATTCCATGGCCACTTTGTATTTTCTGTAATCTTTAAAGTGCCACTAAAATTAATTAATCATTAGAAATCTTTTACTTGGAAAATAAAAGATTTCAAACAATGCCTTATTAAAGTTATTATCTGAGATGTGGTAGATAAATTTAAACATTTAACGGGATTTGCATGTACCATGCATTTGAAAAGATTAGGTGCATTTGCATAAGAATGGCTTACACCATAACACTTGTCTGTATTTGTTATTGTATATTGAGAAGGCTAATATAATTCCTGCTGTCACTTTTCAGGCTTCTGCATGTTTGTACTGAGTTTAGTGAAGAAACATTACCGACTGCAGTTTTACATGGTGTGTATCCAATATTTATTGTGTAATTATTAATTTAAATGGGAAAATTACATATTGCTACAACTTCAACATAATTATTTTTCTTCGAAAAGCTACTAGTCAGTGTTTGAGGGGTTTCATGGAAGGATACATTGTCCCTTACTTCTGAAAATCTCAATTTCATTCTAATCCAGATTGATGGGATGAAAAGACCTCTTTTGACTGATCAAAGTCAGATTTAAGTGACATTATTTTGGCAATTTCATTGTAGCATCACTGGACAGTGATTTGTCTATAAATTGTCCATTTTTAAATTGTTCATGAAGTGGTAAGGATAGATGCTGCGGCAATTGAAAAATGAACGCATGTGCTGTGAATAGTTCTTTGAAGTTCAGGTCAAGGCACATTGTTGGAGCCGACAGAGAAAAGGCAAATGCAGAGAAGAGGGAGCTTTATTCTGCATTTGAATGTGCCATTATCTTGAATAGAATTACCCATTCAGTTTCGGATCTGGTTGTCTGGAAATTTCTAAAAAGTAACATACATTCTCTGCTTCTGGTTATATTTAACAACCTATTCCAGTTATAGTGCAATTATTATGTGAAATGCACATCACCAAAGGTCAGTAAACTTAAGTGGAGAGTAACCTGCCAGTAGTCTTTCCTTTCTTCCTCAAACAATGGTTTCCTGTCTTATTATGTGGAGGTATTAAGGTTTCAGTTAAATTTCTCCATCGACAAAGAAAGTCAGCATAACCCATGATTATGTCCCTTAATCTACCGCTGATTGGTTTTGAAATTAGCAAGAAAATTGGAACCACTCCCAGGGTTGCCTCTGGCACTAGGTGTGTCAAATAAGAGCATTGAATCCCTTACTTTGATGAGCACAACATTACATTAGTAAAATGTTAAAACTGATTCCGTGAAGTAATGGGGCCGTTTCAGGGAAAAGGCAGAAGGAATTACAGTTCCTCTTGCATAATCGTATCTCCTTTATTTGGAGGAAAGAATAGTTTGAACATGACACCAAACCAGTCCAATCACTAAAAGTAGCTTACTCATGGTGTTCGTGATTTCCATTGTTCTGTGGTCAGACGTGGAACCAGTCAGCCCGTTTGACCCAGTTTAGCACCAGCAAATTCAAGGGCAATTTTTTTCTTTGTGCATCTTCTTGAATCCTGAAAGGGTATTGACATTTTGTTAATAATTATTGCATTTGATTTACGATTCTATAAGCATTTGTTAATAACCAAATGCTAACCACAATTAATCATTCAGTGCTTCAATAGACTACTTCAGTCTTGAGGTTATATTTGACACTGGAGTGATTAGTTTCATGTACTAAGGGCTACCATCAAATTTTGGCTCTGCCTCCCAGCAGATCAATTTCAAGATCGCCTTCACCCATAAATCTCTCTATGCTCTTGCACCTCCTTATCTCTCTTGATTGTTTCCTATCCCCCTCCTCTGCTCACCCCCTCCATTCAGCAAACGTGAGCTTCCTGCATGAATCCTGCCTTCACGTGCATCGTCGGTGGTTGAACCTTCAGATTGTGCACTCCTAACCTCTGCAATTCCCCCCTCTGCTTCTTCATCTCATCCTCTCTCTAAGTCTTTTTAAGTTAATAATTCTTACATTTGGTATACACCTTCCATGTTGGGATTATGTCTCAAAGGGCTTCACTGCATATACTGTAAGACTGTGTTTTATGGGTGAACCTACCCCTTCAAACATGTCTACAGCACCTCCTCCTGCTCTCCTCTCCCTTGTTTGGCATCTAACCCCATCATTATAAAGCACTCTGAGCTGTTGCCATACATAAAGGGTGCTATATAAATGTCTTGGAATATTAAGAATCAGATTTGCATTAATTGTATTTGAAAATGTAAAATATGCACTATAGAAACTTTGCAGGCTGTTTATATATTTTCTTTTCCCATCTTCCATTAATCTTCTATTCTGTGCCCTTAACCTTTCTTTTCTCTTGATTTTGGTTGATGCTGATGTGGAGTTTCGCTAGTGCTTCCACTGCCTTACCCAAGTGACCGTTTTCATGTGTGAACCTTAATTGAAAACTGGTGGAGTATTGATCGGAGGGTGCATCACGTAGAACCAAATTCTATATTTAATAACAAATGCCTATGCACATGATCCCACACCCCCCACCCCCCATTTTCTGTTTCTTTCCGGGAAAAGGATGATTCATGCTGATCTCCAATTCTCCTCAAATTCACTCTTCATCTTGCATGAACTTGAGTAGACATTGTCTGTAGGCAGTTAACCTGTGGGTACATCATAGCCAGGATTTTCACCCATTATCTCAGTGCGCACGTCTATCAGGAATCTCTAAGTAGTGATCAAGTATCAACTTTATTTTGAAACCCATGTCCATACTTAAGAGTATCCAAACCAAACTGAGAATTCCATGCATTCCACCTACACATGGAAATTCCTTTAACATGGACATTATTTAACCTGCTGTCTGGAGTTATTTTATAGTGTTAATTTGATGTGTTCATAATTTCAGTGACCTATTTGAGGTGTAAATGCCTCTCTGCTTTCATTGTGAAAGGAAACTGAAAAATATAGTAGCTCCTATACTTGTATTACATTGTAAATTTATTACACCTATTCCCTGCCCTATGTATTGCAAGACTAAGAATCTATAGAGCACTGAATATAGTCAAAAGAATGCATGTCAACAAATAATGATGTATATAGAACTTGGATTTATATCTATAATTATTCCTGTACAGTTTCAAACATAATAATGGATTTCAAAATGTGTATGATAGTTTCAATTAACCAGAATGACACAACCAATAGATTTGGAAGTTTTAGTATAATAATAAAATAAAAATACACGACTACTTTTTTTCTTCAACAACTAAATAAATCTCATTGAATATAAGAATTGGGACAGAACAATGGATTTAAACTATCTTAAAATGTGGCACTAGTTAAATGTTACATTATGTGTGATTTCTTATCAGTTCATCTCAATATTTTAAATATTTAAAGTAGTGTAATTGAATTCTGCAAATGCCTTGTATTTTTGGCTGGCAAAGCTACCTTTTTGTGTCAAGTGTTTGTTAATTTCGTGGGTGGGTGATAGTACTAAGCATTGTAAATAGGCCAGATTCTGCAGGGAAACAGAACCGTTTTACAGATATTTTAAATTAAAGGGTACTTCAATAAAGGCTGAGTTATTTGAATTATGAGTTAAGAATTGGATGCCATCTAGAGAAATGTAACAAGATTATTGTTTTACATTATTGTCTTGTAACTTGCATTTATATAGTTCTGTTCATGTAGGGCAATATCTTGGGAGCACTTCTGCAATATTGTCTATACTGTACATCAAGTGAATTAATGTAGTAGAATACTATAAAACATCCTAATTAAACTTGGTAATTTTGATTTGGTTGTATTTACAGTTTGGGTGGACACATGTTACATTGCTAATAGTTGTCACTCAGTCTCATCTGGTAATTCAAAATCTGTTTGAAGGAATGATTTGGTAAGTGAATTATTGTCACCCTTGTACTCGACACATTCCTCCAATAGTATAAATACATTTATTTTTCCTGTAGTACGTGTACAGTACTACAGATTCACAGTAAAAGTAGCTGATGTTGTATTTAATTGACATCTTGATATGTGGATTGATTTGGGGATTTGTAAATATAGTTTGTTGAGTAAAACTTATAATCTAAATCATCTCTTTATTGATTTGTGTTTGTTAGCTATCATGAGGTATTTTATATGCAATGAGAGCTCTACTATATGAAATTTTTACGTTTTTGTTGAATTCATGAATTTGCTCTCTGTAATGAGGATTTGTGTCTGAAAATTCCAAGCTATTTTGTCTTTTGATGCATTAAATCATTTCCCATAACCATTCCATTTCAGGTTTATTGTTCCAATCTCAATTGTCATTTGTAATGACATAATGGCATATCTATTTGGTTTCTTCTTTGGAAGAACTCCATTAATTAAGGTAAGAAACTGTATATAAAAATAGTCATGCTGTAATTTAAATTTATATTGGCTGAGCATTACTTATTCAATAGAGGAACTTGTAAACTTGTGGAAGAAACCTTACCATTAACTACATAACTGCTTTAATGCTAGTTAAAGTGCAATTTAATTGCAGTGGGAACTAATAGCTTCTGAAGCATAAGGGGTGCATAGTAAACTGCTTCAAGAGCATGTTGAAATAGTATTGTCTTATTCACTCTTCTGTATATTTAAACCTTGCAGGCAATTTAAATTTAAATTGTCCTTTTGCATTTTTAACAGTTTGTCTGATATTTTAACTTGTGCTTCTTTATAGTTGTCTCCAAAGAAAACCTGGGAAGGTTTCATTGGTGGTTTCTTTGCAACTGTTGTTTTTGGATTTCTGGTAAGTTGGAAAAAAATAATGAATTATGTGTTCAAGGTGAGAAAATGTCGGAACCCAACACATCCAGGTTGGGTATAATGTAGTTAGATGTAAAGTAAAAGTCCCTTTGCTGTCAAATCAAATGCTTTCAAGGAGAAAAGAAAATGTTGACACTAAAGCATGCAATATGGATATTGAGTTTCTTTTTTAGTGTTTGAATCTTGATTAATTTTGTCATTTTGATATGCTATCTTTAGATTTACAGCTGTAGAAATAAAATTAAGAATGAAATTAGTGTCAAATTATTTATGTATAAATACATTTTCTTAGAAACTTATATCTATATCAGTTCATTTATATCAGTTTTATTAAGAAATTAAGAATAATTTTCACATTTAACATGTCTGTGGTTGTTCTGTGGTAAATCTATGGATCGTTTTTGCTTTACTACTATTTTTTCTCTGCAGTTTGCCTATGCCTTATCGAGGTACAATTACTTTGTGTGTCCAGTGGATTACAGCAGTGAAACCAACAGCTTTATTGTTGACTGCGAACCTTCGCCTTTGTTCCACCTGCAGGAATACACACTTCCATCTGTAATGCAGACTGTCCTCGGATGGGTACGGAATGTTTCTTGCTAAAATTTACAACAGTTTGTAGTCAAAAGCTGCTGTTTAAATGGTGCTTGTTTTGCCTGTTTCAATTTTCCCAAAATATGTCTGCAATGTCACTGTACAGAAACCTCTTTCCTGTTCATTTTCTGCTGCCCTATATACTTCGGCAAATGCTTTAAGCTGTAGAAGGATTAGTTTACATTTGGTCAGGGCAAAGATACTTTGTAAAGGAAGCCAAAATCTATTTTGATTCCAATATGTTAAGTGTCTTTTTTCCCTATTACTGTAGTTTTACAGTATAAATAGAAATTGTGCATAAACATGTAACATTAGATGGTAAACCATTGCTCACTCTGCTGCGAAGGTTATGCCTTGGGTTCACATACATTCAAAAATCCACACAACAGTGCACTGCAGTGTTTTTTTTCCTAGTTTTCTCCATGTACTTGTAGTGCTTCATTGCATATTATTGCATGTTTTATGGGCAGTGCAGTTTTATAAGAAATCCAGTATATGGGCAGTAAAAGTTCTCTTGTGCTTGCCCAAGTGACCGTTCTATATGTAGGAACCTAAACTGTAGATGTTGGCAGGCTGACCAGAGCTTTTCTCAATCTAGTTCTTACTCGATTCTGTGCGCACATTTTATGGCAGAACACTATTGTATAATGTGACTAGATACTGAATCCAATGTTCATGAATGAAAACCCTGACTGATCATTTTTGCTTCTCTTTCTCGTACAAGTATGTCTGTTTGTGTTAGTTCACACAATGTTTAAGGGCGGAGGGGGCATAATAATAATGGTTAACGTCTGGGTCAATAGGCCACTGCTGACATCACACAGTATATTCTGTGAAGCGCTTTGAAACGTCCAGAAGACGTGAAAAACGCTATATCAAATGCAAGGATTATTATTATTATTGAATCTGTTTCCACCGACCTTTCAGGCAGTGCATTCCAGACCATAACAACTCTGTAAAATTTTTCCTCACTTTAAGCTGTTGCAGAGGACAAGGCACAATCCTGAATGTCCTTTGGATTTGTCGAAAAATGAATCCTACTGGTGGGTGGATTGTGTCATAGCATATTAAACCCCATTTACTATTGCCTTCTGGCAGCTCCCACAATGACCCAAATGAATTCCAGCAAGTTGTCTGGGCTTTATCAGAAGCAGCTTTTTATTGAATCCTCAATTCAGAATTCTGTTCAAATCTAAGACAAACTTTTTGTCTCAACTAGTTAAGACTATTTTTTCTTCTTTTTACACAGAAAACAGTGCACCTCTACCCATTCCAGATACACAGCATTGCCCTTTCCACATTTGCATCTTTAATTGGGCCTTTTGGAGGTTTTTTCGCCAGTGGATTTAAACGAGCTTTCAAAATAAAAGTAAGTATTCAAACTGAGGTATCTTACAATATTACTGCAGTAAAACTCACTGTAAGTCATATCAGTCAGGACAATAACATTTAATATGACTTATGTGATGTTCAAGTTGCAGGCAAACTGTTGCAGTCGTAGAAAATCTGATTTAATCAATAATCTACGCTGCACTTGTGTGCAGCCGGTAAGTGTGCATGCAGTAGCTGGTATGTGTGCATTCAGTGCTGGATACATTAAGTCTACATTTCCTGAGATTCATTGTGTCTTCACCTGTCACCTTGTGCCACTTATCGGCAAATGTTGGAATCACATTGCATTGCGGGGAAATGAAGTTCTGCGCATCGTTCGACAGATGAAGACATTTCCCCGTGATTCAATGCAGCTGGACGGTAAATTTGCATGCGTCGACGAGTAAGGACGTTCAAGGCCTCTGGTAAGCGCGGGGGTAATACAGGGTAGGGAGCGACGTTACGAGTTAGGAGGTGATTAATATGAGTAGAGTCAAGAAATCTAAGTGGTTTTAGAGGTTTCTATTCAGTTTCTATTCAGTTTCTAAACCTCTAAAACCACTTATTCAATTTCTAAGGAAACTGAATGGAACTCGGGTGAATGTACGACTCAGGTATTTATAAAGATAAGACTTATGCGAGTTTTACTGTGTCATTCAAAGTAGTTCCCAACTCCTTCCTCCACAGGCTGCAGATCATCCAGAACTCTGCAGCCCGTGTCCTCTCCCATACCAGGCTCTGTGACCCTATCATCCCCATCCTCGCCCGACTCCACTGGCTTCCCATCACACAGAGGATACAGTTCAAGATCCTGGTCCTCACCTTCAAAGCCCTGCACGGTCTTGCTCCCCCCTACCTCTCCAACCTCCTAACCCCCTACCATCCTGTTCGCTCCCTCCGCTCAGCGGGTTCCGGCCTGCTTCACATCCCCCGCCTTGCTCGCCCCACTATCGGCGGACGGGCCTTCCACCACTTTGCACCCACCGACTGGAACTCCATTCCGCAGTCCCTTCTCCCTCGCCACCTTCAAGACCCACCTCAACACCCTCCTCTTCAACCTTGCTTTTGATCTCCCTGCTTTCCCCCCCGCCCTCCACCCTTCCCCGCCTCGACCCCCAGCTCAGGTACCTAACTCTGTATGTCCAGCACCTTGGGGCGTCCTCCCGACGTGAAAGGTGCTTTACAAATGTAATTTTGTTGTTGTTGTTGCAGTTTAAGTGAAATCTGCATGCACAGGCACAAGGAAATATACAGCAGTGTAATATGAGTAAAATAATCTATTCTTTCTCGGTTATTTTTGTTTGATGTTTGTGTATGATCTGTCCCTCATGATCATTATTTAGAATCTGACAAATTCACAATTTCACCATGATTGGTGGAGGAAGAAAATTCAGCCAGATTTGCATACTTGGTGATTGATCCTTAAGCAGCATCCACAAAAAGCCTAAGAACTGGTCAACTGTTTGCTGTTTTCACAAGGGGAATGTTGGATGGTATAGGGTGAGAGAAGATGCTAAAAAAGAACATGTGTTACACACAAATAAATTGCAATAGAAATAACCACATGGAAGGAAGAAGCTGAGTAAAACTTGGAGCAGTCTGGCCAATTTTTATTCAATTGAAATGTCAATGCTTCTGATAAGTTTACTTACCAGATTTTTTTTTTCAGGATTTTGCCGACACTATTCCTGGCCATGGTGGAATTATGGATCGATTTGATTGCCAATATCTGATGGCTACTTTTGTTCATGTTTATATTGGCAGCTTCATCAGGTAAATTTACTTTTTAATTTTTAGGAGTGGTCAGAGCTGCAGTTTATGAAGCAGGAGTTTGCTGGTCTCTGCCAGGGCGTGGTGCGGTGGCAACATTAACTTGAGCCTTCCTTTCCACAAATGGCTTCTCCTCCAGCCCCCGCACTGACTCGTGCGGTGTCCCTCAGGGCTCTGTCCTCAGTCCCCTCCTCTTCACCCTCTATATGCTCCCCCTTGGTGATATCATCCGCAGACATGGGGTTAACTTCCACATGTATGCGGGTAACACCCATCTTTCCTCCTCTACCCTCAACTCCACGACCACCGATGTCCTGACAGCTGCCTGTCTGACATCAAGTCCTGGACGAGAGATAACTTTCTTCAGCTCAACGTGCGCAAAACTGAGGCCCTCCTGATTGGCTCACGTCAGCGCCTCCGCACCTCAGGCGCTGACAGCATCAGCATCCAAGGCTGCACTCTCCACCTCTCAAAGTCAGTCAGGAACCTCGGGGTTCTGTTCGACCCTGAGCTGTCCTTTCTTACTCATATCCGCGCCACAACTGGCACCGCCTTCCATCACCTCCGGAATATCGCCAGACTACGGCACTACCTCACCCCTCACGCTGCTGAAACTCTGGTCCACGCCTTTATCACCTCAAGGCTGGACTATGGGAACTCTCTCCTCGCCGGCCTTCCCGCCACCTCCCTCCACAAGCTGCAGGTCATTCAGAACTCTGCAGCTCGTGTACTGTCCCGCACCAGGCTTCGGGACCACATCACTCCCACCCTCGCTCGCCTCCACTGGCTCCCCATCCCCCAGAGGATCGAATTCAAGATCCTCACCCTCACCTACAAGGCCATTCACGGCCTCGCTCCCTCCTACCTCTCTGACCTACTATCCTCCTACTTACCTGCCCGTACCCTCCGTTCCTCTGGCTCCGGTCTGCTCCACATCCCCCGCCCCAACCGCCCTACCATCGGTGGCCGGGCCTTCAGCCTCTCAGCCCCTATGCTCTGGAACTCCATCCCCCAGTGCCTTCACCTTGCTTCCTCCCTTTCCTCCTTCAAGGCCGGTCTCAAGACCTTTCTCTTTGACCGTGCCTTCAGCTCCCCTCTCGACTCTCTACCTCCTCCTCGCTCCCTCCCTTCCCTCACCCTGACCATTTCCCCCCAATGCTCGGGTCCTGACCCAACTGTACAGTGCCTTGGGACGTCCTCCCGACGTGAAAGGCACTCTATAAATGGAATCTTGTTGTTGTTGTTCCTGTGGTTAGAGCGGAAAGGCCAGTTTTGCTATTACCTTTTGTCTTTATTCCACGTCCTCTACTGGCAATTTGTACATGTGGTAGCTAAATGAGGAGAGGCTCAGGTCTGGCTGTGACACCCTCAGATCAGATATATAGGTTCCAAGTCCTGGTGAGAGGCTTGATCCCAAAACCTGACTCCTGATGTGCTACCAACTGAGCCAGGCTGACACACAAATTGGCTGCTGCGTTCACCTATAAATACAGTTACTACACTTCAAAGAGTTTTAGGGTAATTGCTATGTAGTATGTCGATTTAGAAGTTATAGGTGCTTTATCAAATGTAAGAAGAATTAGCTATATTTGCATTTTTACATATTTAAATACAGTAAACCCCCAGGGATCAGGAATTCAGAACTAACCGGACTGGGCCTGAAACAATAATTCCCACAAAATGTACAGTCATTTCACTTTACAGAATATTCTGTGAAGCGCTTTGAGATGTCTTGAAGGCGTGATAAGGTGCTATATCAAATGCATGCATTATTATTATCCACATTAACTTGCATTTTGGTTTTAATATTTTGCCAGTAGGTGTATCCACTAATCTCAACAACAACAAGATTACATTTGTATAGCGCCTTTCACGTCAGGAGGACATCCCAAAGCGCTGGACAGTGTACAGCATTTCAGACCCGAGCTGGGGTTAGGGGGGGAGAAGGGAGGGGAAGGGGGGTGGCCGATGGCATGGTCGAAGAGGAGGGTCTTGAGGCGGGACTTGAAGGAGGCTAAGGAGGGGGAGAGGTGGAGTGACTGGGCGATAGAATTCCAGAGGTTGGGGGCAGAGTGGCTGAAGGCTCTCCCGGCAATGGTGGGGCGGGTGAGTCGGGGGATGTGGAGCAGCCCGGAGATGGCTGAGCGGAGGGAACGGGTGGGTTGGTAGGGGCTTAGGAGGTCGCAGAGGTAGGGTGGGGTGAGGCCATGGAGGAATTCGTATGTGATGACCAGGATCTTGAACTGTATCTCAAGTAGAACTATATTTAAAAAACACAAATGTAATACATGCAAGTGCAGTCGTGTATGTGTGTAATGTCTGTTTCATTCTGTCTTTCACAGAGGCCCAAACCCCAGCAAAGTTCTACAGCAACTATTAGTACTTCAACCAGAACAGCAGCTTCAAATCTATAACATGCTTAAATCACATCTGACTGATAAAGGCATGCTTCAGCCAGCAATAAGTGAACAGTAATACTTGGTCCTTTTTTTTGTGTTGGAGTATTGAAAACTACTCGATTCCAAGCTGGGATGACTATCTTTTGAAATTTCTGAAGTGCAGCAGGTTAACGTTGATGTTAGTCTTGATGCCTACCGTTGCTGTGTACTGAAGGTACTTGTATTCTGTAACACATTAACTTGGCAGCAGAAATGTAGATTTGGAAGTTTTAGATTTTAAATGTATCCAATAACATCTTCCAAGCTCAATATCCCTCAAATGGATGCCTTTGGATCCCAACTGTAGATTCCGCTTGAAGTTAACATGTTAGAGTTATAATCTTTATACTGGTGACGGGGTTGAACTTGAATGTCTTATGCAACAATTACTTCTATAGGAGGTTGGTCCTGGTGTCCAAGTTGTAGTATTAGGATCAAATGATAGATACTTTCACTCCTTGAGAGCATGCACTGTATTGGGGGAATTGCACATATGTCTAGTAATGTTTACTGCATCCGAACATAGGCATATACAATGGCGTAGATATCAGATTGTTCTAATATTGAAAGTAACTATAGTGTCTGCAAAATAGAGTGTTGGCTAACCACTAGTCTTCAAACTCTGTTCTGTTCCTGTTCTGTATGAGAAATATGAGACGATGAAAGTTAATTTTGTTTGAGTTTGGAATGAGCTTTGTGGTTTAAAAGAAGCTTGAGTGTTTGCAGCGTGATTAAAATCAATGATCTGTGAGAGTTACCCTTATTTCAGGTAGCATGGCACTAAGTGTATATAATCTGTAAGTATATAGATATATAGATGCAAGTCTGTAATAAATTGTAATAATTTCTAAACATGAATGTATTTGAGAAACTGAAGAACAATTTGAAATTTAGATTATGCTGTGAAGACCAGAGGAATTTAATTTTCTATAGCATGTATAATTTGATAAATCACAGATGAAGATGAACATTCACTAAGTTAAAGTGGAAGGTGCAAGATGGTGATTTATATGAAGTAAGTTATCTTGCTTTACATAAAGTAAGGTACCTTTTAGGGAGTTCAACTCGTTTTGCTCATTTTACTAAAATATACATATATATATAGTAGCATAGACTGTATATTTTGAGCTCATTGACTATTTGTTCTGTGGTACTTCAACAAGATGGTATACCTTTCATTGACCAATCTTGCTGCATTATAATAGTACACAACATATGTCTATTGTATTATGTTACACTGTTAAAAGATCCTGTTCATCGTATTGTTTAATATTCTAAAGGAGGTTCAATTGTTTTCTGTTTTTTCCCAGTTACATTGATAAATTTTAAAAACTACAATTAATTCCCAATCTAATTGACTTGCTTTTATATACAGTTTGTTCATATGCTGCAAGTTTTACATTTTATTGAAGAAACAATATTAAGATGATATTTTGCTGCAAACAGAAAATAGATTGTCATCCAGAAGGCATTTAGCTTGAAATCAACAACAAATTACATTTGTATAGCGCCTTTCACGTTGCCTGTGACAAGGTGCAAATAAACTATTACACAATTGATGCAATTATTTTTAAATTAAGTATGAATAGTTTCTGTAATTTAAGTATTTTTAAAAACTCTTGCCAATTTTTATTTTAAGATGTTAGAGGGTATTTAAATCTGATTACTGTGGACAATCCAACAATTTAAATGATCCTTTCCACCAGAGGCTCTTGAATAACAGGCTTCAGTTACACTTTAAGAGCATGAACTGCGGGGTTTAATTGCATCCTTTATGTATCAATGAAGAGAATACCTTCTTGTGATCCTTTGTCTGCATGAAGATCAGCAAACATATTAACATATTGTCAACAAATGCATGTCATGAATTCTGGTGTCAAAAATGCTATATTTCCAAACCCAGATGTGTTGTGTTAATTGCAACAAATCTACTTTACATTATTTGTATTTTAGATCCCATCCTTCATGCTTTTTTCAGTAGTGGTAGACTGCAGTAACTTGCGGTTAATTTACATGTTACTTTGCACTGCCAATTTTTTCTGTCAAAGGCTTAATAAGCTTTCTTGTGAAAGTTTCTGTACAGATCATCTGCCTTTGGTACGTGAAGCCAGTCTACCAACATTTTTTCCAGAGATTATCTTAAGTTTTTCTTTAAGTTTAAATATGTCTTACTAATGGGACCCTGTGAGAAGCCTAGAATCCCTTTATAAAAGGTCTTATTCATTTTTGATCATTCTTATAATCAAAAGGAAATTAGAATTTTAATGATTTATATCTTTATTGATACAGATTGCAAACTATCTTATGTTTAAATTAAACAGGAAATTATTCAAACTTGGTGAACATTTGACTCCATTACTCAAAACTCCCCAGTTAATACAGATTATAGATTTGAATGTGCTAACTCTGATTGTGTGGCGCATTTGGTCTGAAAGCATCTTCCTGGAAGCATTAATACTCTATAGAATTTAAATTGTTCTGGTTTTGTTTGATTTGCTGCTATTTCTAAATTCGTTAAGGTACATTTGCAGTGCCTCAGTACCTATTTTATGTTCAAAATGTAATTTCACTCTAAATTATACTCTATCCTTGGCTTGTCTTAATTCAAAACTATTAAAACATGCATGTTTCAAGACATTTTCAGAATCTTGATGGATAAAGTCCATTATTTATATTTTTGAGTGTATATTGTCTGATAGTTTAAAATTGAAAAAAAAATTGTAAGAACATTATTTTATCAGGGAGTTTCACTAAATCATTTCAGTAGATTTGTTAATTAAGGTAAGTTATTTTGATATTAACCAGTTATGGAGTAGTTAAACTTTAATTGTTGAACATAATTAAAGCATTTTGTGTAAAAATAGTTAAGTGTTGCAGAATCATAATGACCAGAAGATGATCTTTGATTCCTGTTAACTACTGATTAGTTAAATGAATAAATATTTTTGTTAAATTGTCATTTCTCAAGGATATAAGCAAGAGTATTGTATTGTACTTTGCAAGTGGAAATTCTGCACGTGTATAATTCATAACTACTAGTTTCATCATCGTTCCAGAGTTTCCTGGCAGAATCAATTCTTAAAGCAATGCTCTCAAATCATTTGGTCAACACTATTAATTGCAAGATTGTGACACTTTATCTGCTACAAAACAAGCATTTTTTATGCTATTTTGCAGGCCTAAGCTATCAAAATTGCAGGAAACATGTGAGCTCTGTGCCCATACTGGACTGTGTTCCGGATGTGCTGCTGGGTGGAGGCAGCAAGTGAAAAGCATCATCCCACAATGCTCTTTAATGAAGTATGAATTTCCTGACCTAATGAACAAATTCTGTATCTTCTCCACCTCTTATTTAAGCATAATGCAAGTAAGTATGTGCTAAATTTGCAGGTTGCACTACTTTTCGATTTAGATGGAAAGAACAAATGCATATTTTTATAGTGTCTTCACATTGAAGTCATTGTTTTTGTAGGCACTACTTTTTTAAACAAAAAGTTGTAACTTTTCACCCCCCCTCCCCCCCCCCCGCTCCATTTTATTAAAAAATAGACAGACAACTTGCTGCCAGATGTCTCCCAAAAAGTCTTCATCCAGCTGCAAACAGCATCCCAGGCTGACTCCCTTTCCATCTATTTCTCCAAATGCACATTTAAAAATGAAATGATTTTTTGATGGCACCTGTAGAACCCCATTGGAATGCAGGCTTGCCGAGGACCAGCCTTGGGTGGCTTCCCACACTAAAACAATGAGTGATTTCAGGCCACCCTGTTGCTTCTCACACACTAGGCATAGGAAGTGACAGCAGTGATGAGCTCATAGCTGGAAATCAGATGTTTTTAGCACAGGAAAAGTCAGTCAACTTCCTGCACCATATTGCTGACTGTGTGTGTGATCATACCCTGTGGGGATTTTATAGTCCCTTGACTATCCTGTTATAACTGGGCGCTACTGTATGTTGCAGATATAGATAGATACACTGTAAATATTGGCTAAACTGTTAAATGCAGCCTATGCACATTACTCTCAGACTCCTTGAGAAGATTTAATCCTCAAACTGTATTTTAAAAAATAGCCTTGAAGCCATACATATGTGGAACACTCAATAATTTGCTTTGCAGACACTTAAACACAGTGATGAATGTATGTGTGTTATCAGACACAGTTGACCAAAGAAAATAATATGGACAACAACAACAAATTACATTTATGCAGCACCTTTAACGTTGGGAGGACGTCCCAAGGCGCTGGACAGTCGGGTTGGGATCCGAGCATGGGAGAGGGATGGGGTAGGGGTGAGGGAAGGTAGAGGTGCGAGGGCGACCGAAGGCACGATTGAAGACGAGGGACTTGAAGGAGGCAAGGGAGGAAGTGAGGTGAAGGGACTGTGGGATTGAGTTCCAGAGTGTGGGGGCAGAGAGGCTGAAAGCCCGGCCACCGATGGTAGGGCGGGAGACATGGAGCAGGCCAGAGCCTGATGAACGGAGGGAGCGGGCAGGTTGGTAGGGAGTCAGCAGGTCAGCGAGGTAGGAGGGGGCAAGGCCATGGATGGCCTCAAAGGTGAGGACGATGATCTTCAACGCGATCCTCTGGGGGATGGGGAGCCAGTGGAGTCGGGCGAGGGTGGAAGTGATGGGTTCGCAGATCCTGGTGCGTGAGAGTGCACGAGCTGCAGAGTTTTGGATGATCTGCAGCTTGTGAAGGGAAGAGTTGGGAAGGCCGATGAGGAGGGAGTTTCTGTAATCGAGCCTTGATGTGACGAATGCATGATACATTATTGAACAAAACACAGCTTTCTTAGGACTCTCAACGCTGCTGTGATATTCTCTGGACTAAAACTTGTGGCAGGTGTAACATCAGACTCGTATAATTGTGCCTCCAGCATTGTAGTTGTACTTCTGAAATTTCATGGCAGCAGGACTCCATTATAATGTGTTTGCTGTTGAAGCCAACAGTAAGTCCTGTAGCTCAGTGGTTAGAGCACTCGCTTTGCAAGCGAGAAACCTGAGTTCAGTTCCAGACAGGGCGAAACCTTGGGCAAGTTTCCTTACTCCACACACAGCCTAATAATAATCCCTCCAAAACCAGAAACAATAATAAATTGGTCATTTTCAATCTACGACTGTGTGGGACATTGCTGTGCACAATTGGCTGCCGCGTTCGCCCACAAATATACAGTCAATTCACTTTACAGTGTTCTGTGAAGTGCTTTGCGACGTCCTCCCGACGTGAAAAGCGCTATATCAAATGCAAGGATTATTATTATTATTAAGTTGCATTACGTAGGTTGGTGTCTCGGAGTGCACAAACTATTGGATTTTTGTTAGCATTTTCTAAATTGGGCCATCCAAGCCACCATCGCAAAAACATGTCTGACTTGTAGGTTATCAGGTCATCCTTAGCATCTACTTATGTGCGGCAGGCGAGCAGACAGTGCGGAAATGCTGCTAATGTCATAACTCTGTGCATTGTAGTGGAAGTGCTGTTTGTGTCACTTTGCAAAGGAAAGAAGTCAAAATGTGTTGATGTAGATATTTTTCTGAACCGGTGAAATGGTATCCATTCATTGAAGTATCACAGACACTCCATTTACACTACTGTTTTCATTAAATGAAGTGGACCACTCCAAAGCATTCTACAGGAGCAATAATGCCAGGTTTTGCATTTCAGCACAAGTTTGCTAATTCTGCTGTATGTTCCTATTTCATATAAAATGTATAAACATCACAAAACTAATTATGTTACTTTGTTGATACGCGATGGGAGTTTGTAACTGCACTGAATGGGGTTTCTTAGCTAAATAAAATGATTGTGAAATATTATTTGCAATATTGCTTCTCAAGTGTGTTAATAATTGAATAGCTATGAATGAAGACAACCAACAAAAAGGTTGCTATTGTATTTTGTCAATTAGTGAAGTAATAATGATGCAGGTTGAACATTTTCTAACTTCTCTGATAAGTAATGCAACATAAAACATACACAACAGTGAAACGGAACATACAGTACTATTCCTTAGAAAACCTGTTCCTTCTTATATGCTACTTATTTTCGTTGAACTTGAATCTTTTTTTCACGTGGCCAAATGACAGTAATTAAACAGCCGAAATCTAATCAGAAAAATTGTGAAGCAGTTCATTTGAAATAAAATACTTATTAACGCAATGCAGAATTATATACTGGGCTTTAAAATCATACCATTGACAAGTTATACTATTGACTGTATTCGTCTTATTCTGGTGTGAATAATGTCAACAAAGTAATTGGGAAATTTATTTTTCCATCCCCATCTGCCACCCGACGGTTTTACAGGAAAATCCAAGATTAATTTTGTAGTTAATGCAAAGGCTGTACACTGCTGCCTGAAACAAAAAGGTAAGGCAGATGCCTTTAAAGGCGATTTATATTCACAAAATAAAACTCCATTTTATTCTGAGGTCTTGTCAAACATTAGAAGTTACGAGGGAGATGGTTCTAAAAATCCAGTGAAAATCATGATTTTGGAAAAATAAGAATTCAAAACAAGCTGCATACTAACAAAACATTTGTGTTATTGACAAATATTGCTATTTATCTGCATCAATTGGACTGGCCCCATTACTTCTTGTGTGTATACTTGGACATTAAGCATTTTACAAACTGACTATAGTGCTCACTTAAAAACTCTAGTTTTGCTCTAGCTTTCAGCTTTCCTTCAAACCTTTCATCTGGCCTTTAAGTCCCCGTCCACCTTTGCTTTTCCCCAGCATAGCTGAAATGCTCAAGACACCATTGTCATCGTCAAGCTAAATGCTCTGACCCCTGAGCTCAACTTTCTAAAGACGACCATATAAACTCCATATCTAGTATCGAATCCCACATGAGGCTCCACAAGTCTATCACCCCCCCACTCAGTTTTTGTACAATTCTGAGATATTCTCGCAACGTGAAAGGTGCTATAAGTGTAAACTTGTAATTGCTGCCCAATTTTACTCAAAATGTTACTGCCTGTTCATTAAATCAATAAAATATGAATTTAAAAAATCACTTTTCCTGTCTCTGAATAAAATTCATCCAGAAGCAGAGTGTGATATTTCTGGATTTTTCAGCACGCAGCTGCTTATCCCTGATCTAAGCGAACATGCTAGTGCACCTTTGAGGCAGTGCTGCATTGGCAAATGTACAACTATCCTTCAGATGAGATCTGTTCCAAAGATGACTGGTAAAGGTTCCATGACACTATACAAAGAGAGATGGGAGTTTCTTCCATATACAATAGCAAGTCTTATAGCCACACCAATTAGGACGTTTACTTTGAGTGTGTGTTCGCTCACGAATCTCGAACTTGCCTGGGTCAGATCTGTTGATCAATTGTTTCTGATTTAGTTTCGTCCCTTTAAACTGATAGTCCTGAACACTTAGTGTTTTACTGCAGATCACAGACTTCACAGCTTCCAGTTTGATGTTTTAAAAGCTTAGCATCATGTTCTGTTGAACCAAATTAAAACTAAGCACTCTTGAATATAGCACACAAGAGCTCCTGCTGACACTTCATCCAAATTCACATCACCCAACTGTTGAATGTTAACTTGATGCAAAAGTTCAAAATTAAATTATAAATATTATAGAACCACAATGTTTTGGAACCTTGGAGGTTGTGCAAGGCGCACATGGGACAAAGTAGAGTACTGAATGATCTGCACGATTTACGCAAAGGTAAAACATTTCTGTATTTCATCAAAGGAAGAGTAACTTTAATCAATACACTTAGTCAAACTGGTCTTAAAATAGCAAGCAAGCAACATTGGTGGTAAATAGCAGGTATTTATTTAAATGAAAAAAGATTTAGTACCAGGACTCGTCTCTATTGCATTAGTTACATATGTATTTTGTGTGACTGTAGCTCTTTTGCATTAAGGACAAATATACAATGAACATTCAGATACCACAGTTTACACACTAGTATAATGCATCAGTCTAGCACATGAACCACCAAAACAAGGATTTCAGTTCTCATATACAGTACAAAAATCCCACTCCAGTTCAGCCAGTTTTCTTCATTTCATTTTCATTACTGTACAGATATTGGTCTTTTTCGGGACAGGAAGGGAACAAGAAATTTGTTAATATATTAAACACAACAAAAGGTGGAAACAATATACATGTTACTGACACAAAAAGTCAGCTGTGTTAATCATGCAACAAGTAACAAAACTTGCTGAAATTAAAATACTTCAAAAACAGTATAATTGCATAAATATTATACAGTTCATTTACTGTAAAGAAATGTGTCTTTAAAATGAGAGAAAAATGTTTATGATAAAATGATTCCTACCAGTTTTATACACAATAGCAAGGTGCAAAATAATTAAGTTTTAGTATCAATATTGATCAGGTGCTGCCAATAGACAGCAGGCCTTACTTTTGAAAGCATGACAGTATAAATTGCACACTACATAATACAGATAACGTACACATGAACAAGGGGAAAAGGGAGGATGAACATGTTAGCTAGGCACAAAGAGTATACTTGCTACGACATGACTACTCTAAGTGCTTGTTACAGATTATGATATAGTAAGTGTTGATACGTCGCATCACAATTTTACACAGAAAACATAAGTTACATTTTAAACAGAAATATCAGTCACTCCTTGGAAAGGATTCATTGCATTAGAAGTAGCATTCAATGCAAAAGCATTGTTGCCCACAGTACCACTGCACTTGGGGAAATGGCTTTAAAACAGCCAATGAATCCATGAACTACAGTCAAATCTGATTCCCAAAGAACCTTCACCACATTTAAAGTGTTGAATAACTAGTCATTCCATCACCTCAGTAAATGTAGTTATGGAAAACAACATGAATAGTAGCATATTGTTTTTGACAGCTAATCTAAAATACTGAGGTAAATTGTGCTCGTGAGATTTGACTGTAGTAGTTCTTTACTATAATGTCCTGTGGCTTTTCAGAAATGAAAACCTGGAGCAGGTTAACACTGGAGTGTCACTTCAGTGGTCAGAATCCTGAAGCGTGGAACTGACTGGTACGATACAACAATCACATTGACTCGCAACAAACTTAACCATCTAAACAACTGGAAATCACCTTTTCTTTAAATAAATTCATTGCATCGTTATTTACTGATCATTTGGACATTACATAAAATCGCTGTAGTGTTTTGCTGATGTATTGTTCTCATTTTGATAAATCAAGCCTAAAACCTTGACTTTAGTTTTGAGAATGCAGCATGGATATATTTCAAGGTTTTAGTTAATGATTGCTACCACAAGGTGTGCTCTTGTGTCTGTAACATCAATTTCTAACATAAGTAATTTATTTTTAACTGCTAAGCAACTAACTGTAATATAACTTATTATGCCCACACATTGAGAGCAATACTGAGTTTATAATTCGCTGCTCTCGAGTATATTGACAGCATATTGTAAACAGCTTGGACATGGTAGAAAAGGCATCTGGTCAGAAAACAAGAGCGGGCATTCATTTTTATACTGCCGTAAATGCAGCATAGCAAGCTTTGTGGAACTGAAGCTAATGGTAAGGAAGTCTCCAGCCTCTGCTTTTTTAAAAAGATGATTTTCTTGCCTCCTGCTCCCCCTCGAAGCATACAAACACAAACAAAACTCTAGTATCATGGTAGTGCAATCCTAAAAGGATTGCTTGCATTCGCAACCACAGTTACTAGTCCTATTGCTCCTCATAAAGACGTGATTAAATAATGGTTTGATAAGAGAATGTAACTAGTGTTACAGTAATCTAACACCCCCAGGTACATTTCTAATTAGTATATTCCAAATACCATGGGGATGCTTTCTTGGACATAAATTGATGCAACACAAGGGCTGGTTTGAATCTGCTGCAAACTCCTCCCTTTTTCTTTGATACTGTGGGCTTCTGCAGTAGAGTATACTTAGTAAACAAATACAACTCACAAATCCATTATATCTTGATCCAAACAATAATTAACAAAAATCCAAGGTTATTAATGCAGTTGGTAATGATGAGTGTTCCGATTAGTTTTTGCACATACACTTTCTTTTAACGCCTAAAACAGTTACTGAATGGTACTGGACACACTACTATTGATTTCTTAAATCACACAAATAGTGGTTAGTTGGACTTTCTGTAACAGGCAATTCAGACGTTTCTCTTGTTAAAAAGGCCATTAAACTATTTACACTATAAACAAATGGGATTCTTGCAGTGATGACAGATTTACATCTAAAATCGTACAAGCCAATGGTTTTATGATTATGGGCAACATCAGCAAGATGCTTGAGGGATGGTTTTACGTCTAGAATTACCAAAATCATACTCTCAGCACATTCCAGAACATCCAAACCATTTATGATTCAGATAAAGAGGAGATGAGCACATTATAATGGGAGGCGAATGATCCCTTTCTATTCAGTATATTACAGTGCTTCAACACAGTACAAAGAAATATCATGTAAACTATTTTTTCTTCCTTTTTTTTGCAACAAAACGTTTCCTTTTGCATAAAATCTTTTCAATCAGCTAGAGTAACAATGCTGCTACTAAGCAGTCAGTGACACTAGTTCCTGGAGTTCTCCTCAGCCCCCCTCTCCTGCTGCAGGTTGTAATAACAATTCTGACAGACACGCACGGGCGAAGAGATTTTCAAACGTCGGATTTCAGACTGAAATCTACTGCACCTGCAACACAAGAAAAAGTCAAGGTTAATGCTACAAATCTGGCCTCTTAGGATATGGCCTTCAGATGACACTGGGAGAAACTCCCTTCAGTTTTTGAATAATGCCATGGAATCCTTGGCGTCCATGGCGTTACCTGGACAGGTAGATAGATGCGCCTGGACCTCAGTTTAAAATCTCAACCTTCGGCAAAGCAGAACAAACAAGCACCTCATTTGGGTGTCAGCCTAGACTATCAGCTCAAAATCCTGGTTTGGGGCCTAAACCCAAAACCTTCTGAATCTGTGGCGTGTGTGCACTAACTCAGCCGGGCTGACACCTAACATAGTACAGTAAGACAACAACAAGATCAACCTGTTAATGTGGTCAAACTTTCTCAGTCAATGTGCTGATCTTATTCGTTAATTTCCACTGTTACAAAAAAACCTACTTGGGCAGATGTATTGAAATATAAAATTCTTGATATATGAATCTTTGTGAACATTTCTATGTACATAGAGAGAGGGTATGAGCATTGCCAATAGAACTAGCACTAAGGTGTGCTATTCAATGAGCCAAGGAGCATTAGCTATATGGCTGAACATGGCAGCATATCATTTTTTTTCGCGATATTTGACAAGTTCTAAAACTACCTTTTTCTAAACAATCAGTACTGATGACATCGTTAAGGCTTCTGACAAAGAAGAGACAGCGACAGCACCCCCTCACCCCCACAATGTCGTAGAAGTAATTTAACATCTGAAACCAGTGACTCAGGATCCTTCTGCCATTTCAACCATGTACACAGAATTATCTCATAAGGTTCTGACAAGCGAATAACAGTAACAGTTGAAAGTTTCATGTCACTCTTCTCCAGAACAGCAATCAGTGCGTTAGCTGCTATGGAAAAAAACATGGTTACAGCACAAATTGTCTTTTCATGTTACTCAAACTCTGTTATAGGAGACTATATGTGCTCCGAGATGCTACCCTGCATGGAGGGCACTTGTATAAGTGCAAGTTGTTGTATATAAGACAAACCTCTACCATATTTTTCTGCCCAATGCAACTATTGTAAAAGATTTGCTCTGGAAAGTATATCAAAGTACTTGTAACGTAGCACAGAGTTATTATAAAATATTTTGCGTACTTTTGACAGAAGAGCTGGCCACAGTTTCTGCAGTGATGTCTTCTTTCTGTGAGGGAGAAGCGCACAGAACATCCCGAACAGCTGTCACCTCCATCATCCTTAACCCAGTGGTCAGCAGCTGCCCGCCCTGGCTGGTCACTCACTGACCAGCTAAACACTCGGCCTCGTCCATCTCCCACCATAATCTTACTGTGATCCCTGAGAGGCAAAGAAGAAATTAGTGAGACCCATTCATGTTACCTAAATTACAGCAAAACAGTTCTTTTCATAATTAGCATTTTATTCAAATATAGCATAAAGATAGTATAAACATTTTAAACCTGTAAAGGGTGGAATAGGAGTCGAGTCTAAGGGAGATAATATCTAGTACCTTTGAAAAATAATTCACACAATCGGTTTGAAATGGATCTGCTTTACAAATGATACTCACTTTGAAATGCCCAATGCTGTGATTTCTGCAGGGTGGCAATTATCTTTACGATCAAATGCTGTGTGCATAGTCAACTTGCTTCGAAACACCAACTGTCGTTCCCATCTATATCCTGAAGGCAGAGAATATTGTACTGATAAATACTGGATGTGCAACTCCTTTCATTTGCAGTATGCAGTGCATGAACAATATTTCTGATACTGAAAGGCTGAAATTTACTTACAGTCCAGGTAATTCCAAAGTTCACTTACTATAATTGAATAAAGGGATATTTAGGTTACCAATTAGAATTAAACATACACCAATAACCCAAGTAGAGGAATAATTTCTGTTAAAGATCAACAAATACAATGCCTCAAGTCATAGGTACTAACTACCGCCTCTCCACTGAATAATTCTCTTCAGTGCACTTTTTATACCATTTATTGCATATCAGCCTCAGGATCATTTTTAAAAAAATCTTACACTGATGCATTCACTTTCGGCTTCTGGGAATTATATGATTTGGAAAGGAACAAAATATCTGCTTTGCATTAGAGAATATTTAAAGCATCTTTTGGAGTTAACATTAATACAGTAAACTAACTGTTCACTGTAAATGGACGGGCTATAATAAATACAAAATCTCCCAAAGAAATTGGGAAGGACATGGATATTTATTATGTAAATATATGTATTATATTTAACTGCCAGAAGAACTAGCCTGGTTTTCTGGTGTATAATTTACCTTTATCAAAGGGTTTAAATTAAGTATGCAATGGACACAGAACAAATATTTCTTTAAAAAAAATGAGAGCTGGATCCCTGGTTGGGTCCTTTTTTAAAACAAAAATATTCCTTGTATTTGGTACATCGCCTTTCACGTCAGGACGACGTCTCAAAGCGATTCAAAGAACTTATTGTGACGTGAAGGTATACTTGTGGGCGAATGCAGCAGCCAATTTGCATGCAGCAATGTTCCACAAACAACCATGCGGTGAGTGACCAATTTTATCTGGGAGATTGTTGGCCAGGACACCAGAAGAAACTCTGTTCTCTTTTCGAATAATACCATTGGTTCTTTGATGTCCTCCTCAACAGGCAGATGGGAACTTGGTTTAATGTCTCAACCTAAGGACAGCACCTCCACCAATGGAACACCCCCCTCAGCACTGCACTGGAGTGTCATGTGATCCCAAATGCTAACGTGGGATTGAAGCCACAACCTTCCGACTCAAGAGGCAAGAATGCTACTACTGCTACTGAGCCAGGCTGATGCACGAGGTGAAACACATGATGATGCTCAAGATGAACATTCCCCATCCACCTATTCTACAAGCCTGCAGAGATGGATCAATGCAAATAGGTGACCACAACAAACCCAGCCCCTCCTGAACTTGGACAGTGTGTTTGGTGGACAGGCCGGCACCGTTGCCTGGAGCTGTGACTCGAGGCGAGATATGCACCAAATCTCTGCAAAGCCCAACTTCTCTACTATCATGCAGTAGCAGGTCCGATCAGTTGAATTCAGCAGATCCTCCCCCTCCTGTCACCACCAACGCAATTAGCAGCCTGGGAGATCCAGAACATGAGACGGCTATGATGAAGGAATTTGGGTGAGTGGTCCACTCCAATTTACAGCAGTAGATTGTACAGTATTTAGAACAAAAAAAAGATTTGTTATTTATGATAATAATTCTTGTATTTGATATAGCGTCTTATTAGGTCTTCGAGACGTCTCAAAGCGCTTCACAGAATACACTGTAAAGTGAATCGACTGCATATTTTGTGGGCGAAAAGCGGCAGCCAATTGCACACAGCAGCGTCCCACAAACAGTCGTGGATGAGTGACCAAATTATCATTTTTTTTTAAAGGGATTATTACCTCCGGAAAAGCGATTTGCCAATCGACTAACAACTGGGTTCCTATATATTGCTAGGTAAACAGAGGCATGTGGAGCAAGGAAACTTGCCCAACGTTTCGCCCTGCTGGGAATTGAACCCAGGTCCCCTGGCTTGTGAGGCGAGTGCTCTGACCAATATGCAACAAGACTCCATTTACTTAGAAGAAAATCACTTGGAAAAACGAGCCAATACAGTCAAAAAGATTTCTCTCATTGCATTTCAATCTGCTGAAATTCTCAAGAAGAGTTAACTAGTTGAAGAGGTTAAGTGGATCACATAGATGAAGACACTTACCTAGTCTGAGCATGTTGTGATGACGCACTTCAGTCTGCCCGTGCTGCCCGGATTGTGGGTGGTGTTGGTGATACTGCTGCAGATGACTCTGCATTTGAGCTTGTGGTTGAGGTTGCGACAATGGCTTGTTCTGACTCTCTGAGAAATTGACAAAGACGAACCCGTCCTTCTCATCCAGACACAGCTGATCTGCCCAGCGTTTCGATTCCTCCCCATCTATCAGCCATGCTGCGGCGGATCTGCCAGGCACCCCCTTTGCCTTGTGTCCCGCGGAACCCAGATGAGTTTGCTTGGATTTGGGATCTTGGCTGCTGCTCTGATCATCCAGGTCTGAATCACTACTGTCCTCATCCTGGGCTTCTCTGCCTAAATGGCAAATATTAAATAATAATGGGAGAGATAAAGCACATGGTCTTTCACTACAGTTAGAGGCAAGAAGAGTGCAAATATGGATTTGTGCATTAATTATCTACAGGGTTTTGAAACAGCCAAGTTTAATGTTATTGCATTTCTATTAGTATTTTCTTGACAAGTGTATCAACCAGAACTAAAACTGTTATATTCAATGTGTTATTCGTACAATTCAGGTTTCTACATAAATACAGCAATTAATATTAAACCTTTCACTTGATATACAGCATCTGTAATAAGGTGCCATAACAAATGCAAGAATTATTATTATAATGTTGAGAACTTCTCAAAACATGTCATCATATAAAGTGTAGTGTCAGTATACTTATAGGCAAACGCAACAGCTGATTTGTGCACAACAATGTCCCACAACATTCATGAAGTGAATGACCGATGTTATCTGGAGGATCGTTGACCAAGACACTGAAAAAAATCCTCTCTTTTCGACTAGTGCCATGCTATCTTTAAAGCCCACCTGAATAGGCAGGTAAGACCTCAGTTTAACATCTCATCAGAAGCCTCCAACAATGCAGCAATACCCCACATTGTATAGAGCTTCAGCTCGGACTGTATTTCAAATTTCAGTCATAGGGCTTGAACCAACAGCTTTCTGACCAAATGAGCCAGGCTGACACCTAATTAACTCTATATACCACACCCTGCTCTTACCTATCTGTGATACTCCACAAGATTCCTGGGTGTTTTCAGAAAGCTCTCCGCTCTCCTCGGGAGCTGGTGTTTCTGGAACCTGTAAAAACTCCATTCTCCAGAACTAAAGAAGCAAGAATTACACAGGTTAACAGAAACATGTGGCAAGTGCAGAACAGCAGGAAATAATTCTGTAATCACCTTGGGGGGTGGGAATTAATAAGGAGGAAAAATGATAATTGAACCCAAACCAGCTATCAACCATGTCTAATTCCGATAGCAGTCCTTCAGCAGGAATCAGAAGCCTTTGCTGGAATCAGGACCCAAACCTAGAGCATTTAGGCCACGTCATATAATTTACATTTATATAAATCAGCTGAGATCTGCTGATTCAGCAGAGGCTAGAAAATGAATCTGCAATTTTGCCCAGTGTGCACGACTTAGCTTTTCACTGGATAAACGCATTTAACCATTGGGGAAGATGCTCAATTCATGTTCAGAAGATTTGTTTGCTTTTAGTGTCTATTGTGTAGGTTCCGATTTTAAAAAATCACTGAAGATTTAGGAAATAATTTTAAAGGTTACTGACTCAAGTGTTTTGTGCCTCAGGCAATGTTTAAGGAAATTCTTCTCGTATTTGAGACAGAGTTCAGTACTTACCCTGACCACACCATCTGAATGTCCTGTGACAATAACATTCTGTGTGTGCCACTCATTCATCTCTGACACGCAGCAGCACTGGATCTGCTGACTGCGTCCCGTGAAGGTATTGACATTCACCACCGGGTTCCCATTGATGTTCCACACATGAATGTAGGTGCCAGCACAAGAGACAATGTCTCCCTGTTCAAAATCAGTTAGAAAGAGCAATAAGTTACAGAGAGGGAAGACATTTTGACCCCCAAACAGATAAAAACAACTTAAACTATAGGAATATCTGAGAACGGAGGTAAAACTACTGATACTAAATTTATCAAGATTCTCTATACAACCTCAAGCAGTGAGATCAGAATGAATATTAAAGTGCCTCACATTACATTCATGCAACTCTTATTGACAGGATCTGAAGGACAAAGAGTTCAGTCTGAAAGTGACACAACTCTGGTCTGTGCTGTTATACAAATTGCTGGCAAATTACAGCAATGCCATTGAAATCTTCAATCAAACAGCCCCTGGAAGCAATCTTCAGCCACTCTGAGGCCAGATTCAACATCTTTAGACTGTCACAACATAGACATAAAGGTGTTCGTTCATTTCTGCTACTGCGCACAGCTTGCTATCCCCTATAGAAATTGCACCAACACAGCTTGGCTCGGAATATCAATCAGAAATGGTTTCAGTCAGCAACGTTGCATCGTCAACATTAAAATGCTCGAAAGGCTAGTTTGGATCTCTTAAGGCCATTTCCTACCTTAATCCAACAAACTCAGCCCTGATTCCAACTCAGAGTAAACAGTTCAAGTAAATAATGTACATTTCCACAAAATTGGGAACATGTTTCATGTACGGTACCAGAAAAAAAACACAAGAACAAATTTAGATTTATATAGCTCCTTTCACAGGAGAACATCCTAAGGTTTTGGACCTGAGCTGGGGGTGGGACCCAGGGGGCAAAGGTGAAAGATGCCCAGCTAAGGAGGATGGTGTTGAGGCAGATCTTGAAGGAGGAAGGGAAGTGTCAAGATATAGGGACTTTAGGATGGAGTTTCAGAGAATAGGGGCAGATAGGCTAAAAGCTCAACCACAGATGGTGGGACTGGCGGGGTGGGGGGACCTGAAGCAAGCTGGGGCCTGCTGAGTGGAGAGAACAGGCGGGTTTGCAGGGCTTGAGGGGGTCACAGGGGTAGGATGATTGAGAACATGGAGGGATTTAAAAGTTGGGATGAGGATCTTAAACTTCATCCACCGGGGGATGGGGAGCCATTGGAGCCAGGCGAGGATGGTGGTGATAGACTTGTGGAGCCTAGTGTGGGAAAGGGCATGAGCTGCAGAGGTCAGGGTAGTCTGCAGCTTGTGTAGGGAGGAGTGGGTAATCCTACAAGCAGAGAGTTGGTGTAGTCAAGCCTGCATATGATGAATGTCTGGTCAGTCCTGAAGTTTAAAAAACTAGTAAGCCTATACTCTTCTCTCTTACATCCCTCAATCAATTAATTTACCAAATAGCTGTCCAATTCCTCTCTTGAACTTGTTGATACAAAATTCGTCCACTGCCTCCCTGCCTGATCCATTCCACACATTCACCAAGAAATTCAATCTCAACAGTCTGTTCCCTTGTGATTGAAAGGATGTCTGTGAACATAATCAAGGATTTGCATTATGTCCAGAGGATTTTTCTGATCAATGCCAGTTGCAGGGAGGGAGGGAAAACAGAATGGGTCAACCATTTACCTGCCCCTTAATGGTCAGCTCAGGAGCAGTGAATACAGAGGCCTGGATTTGTGGCTGGCTGCAAATTCATTTTAAAATAGGTTTGAACTGTCGGGCTGTGTCAATCTGGTCCCAAAACAAGACAGCATTCCTTTTTGGGAGCTGTCTAACTATTTTCTGAGCTGCTGAAGGTCACGCTCCAGTTGTCATAGTGCCGTAAATAGTAGTTGTTTACATTAGCAGATGACAGCTCTGAATGTGAATCAGAAATCTCAAGCGTTCAGTTTGATTACACTATTCACCATTGACCAAATCAACAAATGTCAAAAGGTGTTCCATTTGCTTATTAACAGATCAGCAAACGACAGGTAAAAAAAAACCTTTACATTCAGTTTGCAAAAGCCCATGGTGGTCAGAGAATGGCTGTGATGGCAATACGGCGCTTACCGTCAGCTCATTGATGCACAACGCTGACACCGGTGCCCTGTGTCCCCGCAACTGGGTCACAAATGCCAGTTTATTCAAATCCCAAATGATGCAGGTTCGGTCGCATGACCCGCTGACGATGATGTGGTAGGCTGATGAAGCAGTTAAACAAGTCACTGTATCTGTGTGACCGTGGAGTGCCTAAAAGACAAGAGATAAAGGCAGCGTTACGACTGGGTTTTTATTGTAAAGGTTGTTGCCAAATGGCCAAATCAGAAAACAGCATGGATACCTAAAAAAAAAGCTGGAAGATATCGGAGCTAACTTTGGTTCCTGTTTGTATTTTTACCACTTATGTTAAAAATATATCTGCATCAACAAGTTCATTTTAGGACACTGATGTAGACTTACCACACAGGAAGCTGCTAGTAAAAAAAACAATGTCTCATCACCCTGTGGTACTACAGCACTCCTGTCACTCCAGACATAATCTGTAGGGAACCCGATCAGCTCAGAGCCAATGAGGATCTGAAATCCCCATGTTCTTAGGTTTAAGGCCATTTTATTAAAACTTGGAAAAAGGTCTTAAATTCGGTCTTAATTTGGAAACTGATTTTCTGTAGTTCCTTTTCATTACTACTGCTTGAATGGAATTTCCCCAGCTATAATCTTTATTCCCTGTTCATTCTGCAATAAGTATTAATTCGTACTTATTGAAGTCTGAATAAAAACCCCGCTCTGTAATACTGTTATGTATATATGTAGATCCCGATATTCTACATAGGAAATCTCTGCCTATCGCACTCTCAATTTAGAAAATACAGTTTAATGTTCCACTCTGAAGCTCTCTAAAGGGAGATTTAAAAACTAAGACAGGTGCAGTGGATCTAGGAGAGTTTAACCATGACATAACCACTTATCCACTAAGTTACTCAGAGCACGTAATGAACGAACAGCATTACAATTTGCATTATTAAAACAGTTACCTGTTTTAGGGTCAGGGCTTTTGCTTTCTCCTTGGAAGTGGTGATCTCCCACACACAAATGGCCGTACTTGTTCCTCCAGTAATAACTAGCTTAGGGTTGGGGCAAACTGTGCACAGTATCTGTCCCCATTCAGTCAGGCACTCGTACACTACCAAAGCCTGGAAAGGGAAGAACAAAAACGTTAAGCATCGATTAAACTGTTAAGTTTGGTGAAAATGTACATGTGGTTTTAAGTATACCAAAGATGATCATCCAATCCTTTGGAAATGTTTTGGTGAGTGACGCTAGTCAATAACTGTATTGGCCTGAATGATCCGAGTATTTTTAATAGGAAAATCTCATGATTAATTCACACTGTTAGGATCAATACATTTCTTAATGACCAGTGAATCACCCTGAAGAAGCTTGGTGAGGTATCAAAATAGAAATGGTACATTTTTATATTAGCTTGTTGGTTTTACACCATTTGGGCTGACACTGGTGACTTCTGTGTCTTGCTTCTCTAATTTAGCAATGGGATAAACCTTCTCACTGACAAAGTTACTGATGTTCACTGTCGGTAACTGAACTAATCTTAACGAACACATCACGTCAGTTCTAGGAGTAGTTTGGAGATCAGCTGCCGCAGTACAATGTAATTGTTAATTCTCTTGGCTCCCCTCCTCCAGTTATGCATTTGGACTTATTACATTGTTGTGACACCTCAAAACTCTTGTATTTTGTGGGCGAAACACTACAGTTAATTTGTGCATAGCAATGTCCCACAAATAACCATGGAGTGAGTGACCAAATTTATTTGGGGAATTATTGGCCAGGATACTGAGATAAACTCTCTTCTCTTATCACATCCCTAGACTTTTAGTCGCCCTTGGTGGGCAAGATGTACTGTGGATACCAGGAGGATCCTGGTCAGTGACTGTGTTGCTATGAGTGAATGCTGTTGTGAACCGCCATTGTTTTTTCAATCTAAATGTATTTTGAATCAAGTTGATAGAATGAAGCTGAAATGAGCGATCGTAAGCATTCACTTAAACCATGGAAAATGTTTATCTGAAATTTAACCACTGGCCTCAACATTTATAGTCTCACTGCTTTTACATTTGCTAATTAATGCATTATGAGAGCAATAGTAATGGCATTTGTGGTCGTCCTGCCCTGTTCCTAGTACAATGTTCTTTCAGATAATAATTCTTCCTTTTGATATATGACCAACAACTTCTGCACTTCACAGGGAATTGCTATTAAGTGTATAATAAGAGAAGCAACAACAACCAATTCAGGGTTGCTGTCGTTGTAGTTACTGACCTTGTCAGATTCATAATTTGCCACCCTGCAACTGAGATCTGCATATCCCCAGGCAAATGTCTTGTTCCAGGTGGGAGGAATCAGAACCTTGTGTTGTTCCACTGCGAGAACACCTTTATCCGTGTAAACAATCTGCCCCACTGGCTCCTTCAATTCTGCGGCAGACAAAGATATTGAGTTATTCTAAACATTGCGTGTAAAGACAGACCAAGGAGTTATTTAGACACGAAAAAATGCAAAAGGCAAAATACAAGAAGGTGTGACCTTTATACTTCATTGCCGGCCTCTCAACTCGGATACCCTAAATCAAACTATCAATGATCAACATTTGTACCAGGTCTCACCATTGTCATCCGAGGGCAGAGCTGCATTTGTGACCTTACTAGATCAAACAAGAAGCATACTGACGGTATCTGTAGATGGGGATGTGGTAAGTAAGGAAATGGCGGTTAGATCACTGATCTATAGTCTAGGTTCACAAGTTCACCAGATTGGTTTGGATGAAGAAGGCCTTTCGATCTATCTCATCCTTCCAGAACACCCTATCATCCTTGCTCAAATGTAGCCCAAACAAGAGATTCCCTCCTGTTTCAGTTGGTTTGTCATGTTCTTTATCAACAGCAGTAAACCAGTTTCTGATTGACATGAACCACAGTACAAACCTAAACCTGAATTATCTTATTTGTAATTTGATGCTGAGAATCTTATTTCATGACACGTGTGGGAATTTGGAAGCTCAATTAATATAGTAGTAGAAGTTCTTTACTGGGCATATTGTCACATCACAGAAGAGATCCCTGTACTTTCCTCTGACTGTCCTGGGAGTTCTCAATGTCAACACTGCGTAGCTTAGATGTTAGAGCTGGGAAATGGCACATTTCTCCATCGCTCACTGTAACTAGGTCAAAATTCACAACAGGTACTGTAAGCACTATATAAAACAAATAACGCTCAAAAGGCTTGAGCAAAATAATGATGGATACAACATCTTTGTTGAAATTCTTTTGTAGAAATTCCTGCTATAAGTTGAAAGCCGTAAATTGTAATACAACACAAGCTACAATCTGGATAGCTTAAACTTGTCGGTAGTCATCATCATTATTATTATTGTCTGATTTTAAACAACGTCTCTCCTAAACAGAAAGGGACCACTGGCTGTTTTAAACTGTATCCACTGTTAAATTATAACAATGATCACATTTCACCTTTAACAGGAGTCAAAGAGGGTCTTAGGTTATCTAAATGGTGAAAGAAGATCTTGTCGGAGGTATAGCTGACTGAGGACGGCACACCAGACGATTCTCCGTTTATCCGGCTACGAGCTCGTTTTGGTGGATGAGGCTTTTTAAATAGCTGTGAAGATTAAACAAAGATGCATCTGTTTAAACACCATTAAAATAGGTTTCATTTGGTTTTCATTTCAAGATACAGTGAACTCCTGATAATAAAACCCTTGGAGTGATGATATATCAGGAGTTTACCATAATTAATTCATGCTGTGATTACAGAAATCTGATTGCTGAATCCTAAGTTGCTGAAATACTTCATGAAGCCCAGAATCGTGTGAAATCAGCAAAACTTTCAAAGATAGCTGATACTTTCAAAAACAACAACTTGCAGTTGTATAGCGCACTTCATGCGGGGTAGTGTATCGGAGTGCTTTCCAACCAGTACCTTATGCAATATGGTGAAGAGATCCTGAACAAAGGATAATGATCTCAAATTTAGAGGGGCAAGGGTGAAATTTATATAGTATCTTTCACATCAGGAGGATGTGCCAAAGTGCTTTCCAGCGCCTTGGGACGTCCTCCTGACCTGAAAGGCGCTTTACAAATGTAGTATTGTTGTTCTTGTTGTTTAAATCCTCAGCAGACACCTTCTACTTTACACAGAGGCGGCAAACATGTGGCAAGGCTTGTCTGGGAAGGCAGTTTATGAGGGCATTTGATACATTTTTGACATCAAAGAGGATTAGGGGATATGTGAGATGGGAGAATGGTATTTAAAAATAGAACAAACCAAAGTGTAGTACTGCTTTATTTGAAACAGGGGGTGAATTAATTTGAGTTCTTTTTAAAATTCGGGAGGTCCAATTGACTGCCCACCAACTTTTTAGGGACCATTTAGCAATTGTAATGTTGTTAAAAACTAGGTCACCCGACAGGTGTTTAATATTTAAAGACTTGCTTCAGTTCAGTCTCCAGCCAATGCAACTAAGCAAGAATAAATCAGCCTTCCCGCTTTTAACTGTTTTGCGGCCGGAAGAGGTATCACTCATTTTTCTGGGGGGGGGGGGGGGGGGGGGTTTGGAAGCAAACACAGATAATTAGAATCTACAAATTGCAGAAAAATCTGGGGAAAATATGTTCCTACCTGTTTGGGAATCTGTCCGAAATTATTGATGAAGCCAATGGTTGCAGTTTCTTTCAGTGGATCATTGATGTTATATATGTCCACCTGGCCTTCATAGAATAGGTGATGGAAGACATTGACTGCCTCCACTGCAGGAACGCCTTGTTGTTTGTAACCAAATATCAAATCAATCCATTCATGCAGGTGGGAGCTGACGTAGTCACATTCCAGAGCCTGGAAGAAAATGCCGATTATTATAGCTTAGAGAGTGGTTAGCCAAATCTTTGGGGTTGTTTATATGTCGCCAGACAAGATTGGAAAGCAGAGAGAGAAGGGATGAGGTGGATGGCTTCTGGGGGAAGAGTTCCAGAGAAAGGGGCAAAGAGGCTGAAGGCTCACACACCAACGGAGCGGTGGAGTGGGCCTGGGGTAATGAAGCCAGCTGGAGGTGCTGGAGTGGAGGGAATGTGGGTCCTACGAGATTGAAGCGTTAGGGTGGGGCAAGGTTGGGGAGGCATTTGAAGACAAGGACAAGGGGCTTAAAGGTGATGCACTGGGGGAAACATAAGAAACTCCATCCAGTACCAAGATGAAAACTTATTCAATCATGTTTCTGTTATTGTCATTGGGGAACCAGAGTTGGAATACATCATTTGGATGAAATGTTAAACTGAGATCCGTCTGCTTGTTCACGTGGACTTCAAACATCAAGGACATTATGTTGAGGAGCAGGACATTATCCTTGGAACCTGGATAACATTATATTTCAAGGACATCTTAAAACTCTTTGCAGGATTTACTACATATTGCCATATTTCTACTGGTCAGTGAGACAATGAGTAGAGGGCATCAATTTAAGACAGGTAGAAAAGGGAGCAAAGGGGAGATTACGACGATTTCTTTTACACTGAGAGTTGTTAGTATATGGAATGCCCTGTTGGGTGCAGTGGTCAAAGAAGGATCCACATTAGCTTTTAAGCAGGAACTAGATTGATATCTAGAAAGGATTAATCTCAAGAGGTATGAGGGAAAAACAGGAAAATGAGATTGAATAGATGCTGTCTCAAAGAACAAGCACAGACACAATGGGCCGAATTATCTTCTGTGCTGTGAACTTCTACAGTTCTCCACGGTGACAACAAAGTTGTGATACCATTACAATTAATAAGTCTTAAAGAAATTATGTTATATACATTTGTATAGATAACAAGGTAGTTATCATGACGTTTTGATGACCCTGTACATCTTCCATAGGGAAATCCAGCATTTAACATGAATACAGCCTAACAAACATAACATACTTTGAACTCTAAAAAGATTACAATAAGCAATAAACTAACTTGACTGTCAAAAAAGCACTGCTAGTACCTCACGATGAACTCTGATGAACTCCCTCGGGTCCCCTTTAGCCCACGGTGGTAGTAACACGTCTCCCAACTTAATACCATTCTGTTTATTACCTGAGGGCAGAAGATAGCAGTATGCAATGTCACAGAAGTCCATTCTCACACTTTTCAGCCGGTTAGACATTAAAATCTAATCTTACAATAGTTGTGTCTTCCCAAACATGCCTTACAGACTTCTGCTCTGGGACAGACTGAAAAATGTGGAAAAATCAAAATCCCACTGAAAGCATGTTACAGTCTATTTTGAAACTAGACAGATTTATTTTTCCAATAGAAGAATCAAAAAGATCTCAGATAAACCAGAAATGCTGTAAATTCACAGTGGATCAATCAGAATCCGAATGAGAAAAATAGGTTAATATTTAGGGCACGACGGTTCAAATATTTCATGCCCATAACTTGCAGTGGATTTACAGCATTTCGGTATTTTTTTAACAATTTCAGTTTTTTTTTAAACTTCCAGTTTTGCTGCAGTTTTACAACAACAACTTGCATTTATATAGAGCTCTCCACACTGGGTAGAGTCCCGGAGCGCAGTTTTAGCATGCAATTAATGTACCGAATTTCAATACTTTATATTCTTCGACAGAAGAAATGTAGCCACACCTAGATCAAAATTGTTGGAGTTGAGGAGAAACTCTGGGAGGTAGAAGAATTCTGGGATGAGCTCTTTCACATCCGCCATGTTGTGTTTGGAGGCTGAATACCAAGCCTCTCGCACACTGTGAAACATGCGATCGGCTAGATCAAAGTGACCGCCCTGAGGAGGGGGGGAAAGACAGACAACAGACACAGAGTAATTCATATGATTACAGTTCACCAGACAACAATAAATAGCATTTTACTCCCCGAGTTCTGAAGCTAGATGGTGTACTATCTTGAAAAGCAGAAATTTACAGAATGGTGCAGCTACGTTTTACAGGAGTGTGCATTCCATTCCAAACATGGTAATTTCCTTGTCTAGGCGGCATGCGTGGACTTCTGTTTGATTCGAATACTCTTGCGTATTGGACCTCTGTTTAATTCGAATACTCTTGCATATGGTGGTGGGTTTCTGCAGATGTCAACACAGCCGGCTGAACAAAAATAGTCCCGTTACCTGAAGTCGGAGAAAGATTTGAGTGAAGGGCTCCATTCTTACTAAGTAAGAAGCTACAATCATGGCGGAAGAATAGTGTGTTCCATAATGATATGCTGGTGTTTCACCTAGATATAATTGACACAGACAGACATTACCCAGAATCAAATAATGGAAATTAACAACAAATATTAAAAGATAAATGGTACCCAAAATAACACTGATATGAATCAAATTTATATAGAACTAGCATTCGGTGTTTAAAAAAGGATTGTTCTTTCATTAATAGTGCTATCTGAATATTATTTTTCCAAAATCCAACAAGTAGACAAAAAAAATGACCGAAACAGGTCAGAAAAACAATTACATACAAATATATACAGAGATATACGCACAAAAATTCACTTATTTTAAAACATCAACTTTTTTGCAAATATAGTATTGCTATTTTAACTACTTTTGTAAATTCTTTTACCATTAGGATCCTCCCAGTCTTTATATCGTTTCTTATACTGAGCTAATCTCTCTTCAGTCTGAGCTCCCATCGGTTTTGCCAGGTTCCTAAATGTTTGGGGATTAGTGAGATCAAGTTCCTACAGTAGGGAAAGGAAATATTCTTAAGTATAAACTGGGACTGGGAATAAATAAAATCAGAAGTAAAATATCTGTTTTGATGTTTTAAACATTAAACAATCCCAGACAGATAACTACAAAAGGTACAAACCATCTCCATAAACATAGAACATTTTATGAAACATGATTTCAAACATTTCCGTACCTCTGAATCAAAGTCTGCAAGGATCCACGGGAAGACTGGATACTGCATCAAGTCATTATAGGATCTGCCAGCTAATGTGTTCAGATGCATAAGGTATTGGAAATTACTGATTTCTCCTCTCTGAGGAAGGAAACATAAAAATGGAATGTCATAGCTTTTTGTCATGTCTGAAAGATTCTCTGTAATGAACTCATTTACTTGCAACAATTTAATGAAAGAATGTGTCTAGCAAACAAGTGTAAATCATTGCTCAAAAATGGACTGATCAACAAATTATAGCAACTGCCAGAAGTGAGATATAGATCATATTCATTGGGTCCCTCATCATATCCTCATATCATACTTTAGGTAAGTAACTAAGTAAGTAAGTGGACGTTGAGTGGCTGTTTCCACTTTCTGTTTGAGGGTCCAAAACGAAGAGGCATAAATTTAAGATAGTCAGTAGTACCTCTAAACCAGAGTTTAGAAGAAACGTCTTTACGCAGAGGGTGGTGAGAATGTGGAACTTACTGCCGTAAACTGTGATTGAAGCAAAAAGCATCAATGTAATTAAAAGGAAATTTGATGTGTACATGAGAGAGAAAAGAAGAGTATAGAAGAGGGAAATAGGAGGTGTGTAGCCTTGAGTGGAATATAACCATGGCATGGACTAAATTGAGTGGCGGACTACAGAATAATTCTGGTGCTGAAAAAATGCAATTTTTTCTTCTTCATATCAATTGGTCCCATTTGTGGCATCTTCATGAAATATGAAAACCTCCTCATTATTGCTGTAAATCTCTTTTTTCATAAATCACTTTCAAATGATTTTTCTCACCATCATTTTTTATTTTTTCCTTACCTCCCATCTTTGTGTTACAGACCTTTCTCCAACCAAAGTGCTAAGTAAGCCAGATCTGGGAATGGAAAGAAATGACTATTAATACTCTACACTTAACAGATTTAAAAAAACACATGCAAACCAAAAAGATATCCTAGACAAAACTCCTTTAATCCACACAAATCTAAAATTACTTTCATTTCTGTGAAAAATATGAATTTACTGAAAAACATTTATTTAGTATTTTTATTATTAGCTTATGATAATTTTATTATTATTATTTATTTAAAAGGAAGTGGCTTGGTAGGTATGGTTTAAGAAGCCCGCACAGGTATGGTGGGGTGAGACCGTGGAGGGATTTGAAAGTGAGGATGAGGATCTTGAACTCGATCTTGAACTTTGGGGGAAAGTAGCCAATGGAGCCAGACAAGGATGGAGGTGATAGGCTCGCAGAACCTATGTGGGAAAATACATGAGCTGCAGTTTCTGGATTGTCTGCAGCTTTTGTAGAGAACGGGTAAGTAGTCTGGCAAGCAGAGCACTGGCGTAGTGTTGGAAGAATTTTAAATAAATGTAAAATAGACATAAAGATACTTTATAACGACTATCTTTTTGCCATGTCGGATCCCTTTTACAGAATGCTACCACACCTCCAGAAATAACCATCAAGTTAAAGAATCCCGTCTGTACCATCACATCAGCACCTTTGGACATTCTATACTTATTGAGGAAAATCAGGCAAAATAACTTTAGTGGCTTTCTGAAACAGGGCCAAGGTTTTGTTTCAATTTCTGATCAGAATCCATGTTGTGGGCTTGTACAATAAATATGCATCAGTAAGACATGTGCAAAAACAATTCTATTGCATTAACTTACACCATTTCAAAAACAAACAAGGAATGAAGGCCTGTGGAAGCCCTAGGATACAATAATGAACTTTAGGCCTGCTTTACTTACCCTTGTTCCACACTTGTATTGGGCCTTTGACCAGACACAGACTCAGAACTGTCAGTCAATGAGGGGACCACAGCCAAAAATCTGAAATGCATAATTTAGTAAATTATAGTCACTATTTTGCAACATTTCCCCTTATCCAAGAACTATTAAACCTTTGGGTTTTATTAGTCACAAAATAATCAGTAGTTAAAGACAGATAAAGAATAGATGCCTTCAATAAGAAACCAGACTTTCAGGTGAGGAAAGGGGGATTTTGGAAGGTATGAACGGGAGTAAGGAATGGGACAAGGCTTATGTGAATTCCATCGGCACGGACAGATTGAGCTAAGTGGCCTGTTTCCGTGCTGTACTGTCTTTGTAAATCTTTGCAGAATTAAGATTTTTTTCTGCAGCTTTACAGTAAAATTTGGGGCTAAACAAAAAACATTTGAGGGTGTGAGGAAACATAAGATCTGGAAATATACAGAACTGGTTATCCCAGTGAAGGGGAAGTCTTTCAAGACTAGTTGGCAGTAGAAGGGTAAAATCCTAAGATATCTTCTTGCCTTTGGTTCCAGATTTTACAAATTTTTCTCCAATTTTAAACGGGTTCATGGTTTGAACCCTCACCAATGATGCATTTAATTGCAGACAAAGGAACAGAAATATATATATTTTTTTACCTTTGATACACTTTATTGCGGACCCCTTTTTGGAAAGCCAAGAGATAATTCCGCCCATCGCCAGAAAAAACCTCAACTGCAATAGGCTGGAAGAGATCATTCGTAAAGGAATAACATTTTTAGCAAAGGAGATGTAAATAATTAATATTTCTATATATACATTAGAGAAAGATTGTCTACAATATGATCCCAACCTGCAGCAGATAGCGTCTCTTGTGTACTTCTTTGATATCCTCGTATGCAAATTTGCTGCAAGTCCTCTTCAGCTGACTCTGTCCTTGCCGCGCTCCTCTGGGAATAATGGGTTCATGCATGCTGCAAAAACATCCGGAGAAATTCAGATATGTATCCAATTAGAACAGCACAATATACTTTGTCTCAGTCCGGAACGGATGAATTTCACCATGTAGGTACTCGCAAGCAGTACCCACATAAAGTAATAAGCGTTGGATATATTATGATGATAATAATACTTGCATTTGATTTAATGCTTTATCAAGTCGTTGAGACGTCTCAAAGCGCTTCACAGAATATACTATAAAGTGGAGTGACTGAATATTTTGTGGGCAAAACCTGGCAAATGGTTATGGATTTTTTTTTACTGGTCTGGGCTCAAACTATATTTTTTTGGCTCATCTTTTTTTTGGAGGGATTATTACCCCCGGAAAGCAATCCGCCAATTGAATAGCAACCGGGTTCCTACTTACTGCTAGGTAAACAGAGGTGTGTGGAGTAAGGAAACTTGCCTAAGATCTAATGTGGTCAATATTTCACCCACAAAATACACAGTCTACCTACTTTACAGTATATTCTGTGAAGTGCTTTGAGACGTCTTACGATGTAATAAGGCTCTAAATCAAAGGCAAGGATTATTATTATTATTATTTACTGCAGCGAAATTTAAAAAGGCACACTCACTTTGGGGGCAATGTCTCAATGTCACGGATCTCCCTGGTGGCAGTCATTGTGAAACCATCAATCACATAGAAATGCTCTTTGCCAAACAGAAGGAGCCCCTCACTGGTGTCAAGTCCTTGTACTCTGGCACATCTGTACATGTGCTGAATCTATAAACGCACAAGACATTTATTGATTTGACAGGACAAAATATACAGGGTTTTCACATGCTTATAATAAATTTACTTTAAAATAGTAACTAATAAAATTGGTTTCATTTTACACAGCTTGAAATGTCACCATGTTAAATGATGCACATTAAAAAGTGACATTCCACACAAACAACCTTGTCAGAAGATTTCACATTTGACAGAATTGAAAGACCTGAGTATGGCATTTTAATCTCCAGTGACTGGAATTAAAATACCAACAAATGATGAAACCTCACTACTGGGGCTGGCAGATGTGATCACATCCCTATGGCTCTGAGCTGGGTTCTGTTGCTAATAAGTATTTTTTATTTCTGGTTCAAATGGTCCAGGTAGGAATTTTCATGGGAACAGAGAAAGATGAGGGGAAACATGATGGAGTTCTTTAAAAATGAGTGGATAATGAGAAATTATTTCCTCAGGTCAGTGCGTCAAGGCAGTGTACCAAAGGGCATCAAATTAAGATAATTATCAAGGGAGCAAAGGGGGAAATTAGGATTTTTTTTATGGTTGTTAGGATGCGGAATGCTATGCCAATGCGGTGGTTACGACACCGTCTATATTAACTTCCGAGAGGGAAATCTAAAAAGGAGTAGTTTACAAGGTTATGGAGGTAAGGCAAGTAAATGGGACTGATTCAGAAAGCCAACACAGACGTGATCAGTTAAATGATCTGTGTTGTAAATTTTTATGGTTCTTTAGATGTGGCTATTCCTTGAAATACATAGTAAAGTAAATTTAAAGGGGAAATGAAGTGTACTAAATTGCCTTCTGTGTTAAATGGAGATAAGAGATGTAAAAATATTGCAAAACAGCTTAAATGTGATTAAAGGATTAATACAAAGGTCAGAGTCATTCTCACTCATAGGTTATTGGAGCCAGCTTGACTCTGAGCCACTTGAGTCTAAATACAGTGCTGTCATTAGGAGATACAACAGGGTACTTTATTTAGTAATGAACATTCGTACGATTTGGGGTAAAAAAGGCTAGCATTTAATTGCAATTGCAACATAATACGAGATAATGAAAATTCTGGTCACAAGACAGTTTATTCTGGTGTAAAACTTCCAGTTATCACCAGGTATCGGTTTACAACATTGTACTCTGATCCTACACAGGTAAGGTGGAGTAAACCAAGCCAACAGGCCTCATTCAGTTGGTTAGCAGTAAAATATATGAACATGAAAGATAGAAATTAGCAGCAGAACCAAGGGCTGCACACTTGCTTATAAAGACAGGGGGAGGGAAAAAAAACACTGGTAGATTGCACTCAATGAAAATAGATGGTGGTAGTGGGGGTCGGGACAGGATAGGGGTATTTAAAGATGCAACACAATTTAAAGTTTTTGAGGGAATGTATAACCCATTTGAGCTTTGTCCTAGTGAGGTTATCAGATCACTTGATTGTGTTACAACCCTGTAACCATTCTTAGTTATCTATTAAAACATTATAGGTTTGCTTTGAGAAAGGTTTTACTTTGAGCAAGAGCAATGTTATTTTTTAAATCTCTTTCCTCCAAATGCTTACTTCAAATATTTCTCTCTCTCTTGAAACATCTCAATTGATAGCCTTTGGATTGGATTACACATTTTTACAATCCTTTGTATCAATAAATTGTTTTCTAGATTCATTTTTAACCCTCTTTGCTCCATGTTTATCATTGTCCCCATGTTGAGAATTCTGCTTCTAGAGGTAAAAAGTATTCCCAATCTGTCTAGTAAATTCCCTTTATTATTTTAAAGACTTCAACTAGAACACCCTTAACTTTCTCAGTTGAGGGAATATTATTCAACTTTATCCAATTTATCTGTATTGTTTTTACTTCTCCAACCAGCCCTTTGATGCATTGAATTTCCCTGTGTCAATTGTGAACTTTATATAAAAATATATAAACAACAAAATTGGGCATTTCAAAAGCACAAGTTGAAAGGAGGAATGTTACATTATACAAATAATTTATTAGCAGGGGAAAAAAAGCTTTCGTCCTAGACATTAATTATTTGGAACAAAATAGAGACTCTTATCATTGAGAAAGCTGGACCCTCTAATGAGGGAGAAAGGAATAGGCGGCTATGTCAGGAAGTAAGGAATGGGTGGAGACATGTGTGGAATATAAACATGGGCACGGGTTGGTTGGGCCGAGTGGCCTGTTTCCGCGCTGTACATTCTTTGTAAATCTTTGTAAATTCTTTAAATCTGCAAAATAACCCCACATACTGTTTCTAGTCTGGTGGCAACAATGGTCTCCCTCTCAGGAGGGGAGTAAGTGAGGTTTCCTTGGAGTTGAAATGGTCGGAGCTGAGCCGACTCTCTGTGGCGGTCTCACTAGTCTGGTTTCTGCGCCAGGCAGGTCAGCAGTACTCTAGCGTGATCAACCAGCTTAGCAAATTGGCAGCATTTGGAGGGGCAGAATGATCATTGGGGGCAGAGATTCTTCCCACTTAGCTTCCCACTGACTCTGCAAGCCAAAGCCCTAGGGATAGGTGATCCTTGCTGGACAAGCCACAGGAAGCTTTCAAGCTATGCGATTTTAGCTGGTTAGACTTTCGCAGTTCCCCAATGCACTCTGGAGGACTGGTATCACAAAACAAGTATTACTAGAACACTCAGAAAATAGCAGGACATAATGGCTCCTGTGCTTTAGGTGGTGATTTTTTTATTAAAGTACAAGAGTCCAAGGTCAAACGGTGACAATTGGTTATTATTCAGAAGCCTTTGAAGAATGGGCCGTGTGTTTTGCACAACTTTCCCTCAGAAGATCAAACGATGGGTTAAAGCCCATGATAAGTACATAGCCTGTGGGGAAATAGTGGCCTGTTGAACTTAAACCAGTCTTTACTTGGTACACACTATCTTGCTCATTTCCTGCATGTGAGCACAGATACCATCAGGGTGGAGTTACACTCATTTGGTTTAGAAAGCTTGAAACCTTCAATTTATTTTAAGTGCCCAATCCTCCGCTGTTTGATAATTTCCCCCTCAGTATTTTGAGTTTGGTTTCAAGATATTCAACAACACTACCTCATCTGTTGTGTACAGGCCAGGACAGTAGTAGGGGAAAGTTACCTTTTCTCCTTCCTCTAATAACCGTAGCAGAGTTTGGTTGTCAGTCTTCTCTTCTTCGTCCATCGAGTTTCCCTCAGAGATCTGGTCAAGGAAAGGTTCGGTGTTGTCGTCATCTCCACCGTCGGGAGCAGAACGGGAACGTTTCAGAGGTGGCTTCACAATTCCTAAAGAATTACACTTCATGTTCATTTACACGTTGAAAGAAAACCATAGTCTGGAGGCAAACTGTAAACTATTTCAGTATATCCATAATGTGAGTTTGAATGTCATTTGTAGTTGGAGGGTACAGTAAACTGTGCAACCGATAAGTGATTAGTTACAAGTAGACCATGGTAACAGTTGAAAATTTCAGGTCCGAATAACAATATTGATTATATCCTTTGTGCAGAGTTATTGGTAATACTGAAAGTCCATTAAAAGGAAACTTTTATTACATTTCTTCAATAACTTTCATAGCCTCCTTCAAGACCTCCCTGGCCAATTTTCTGAATTGTCAGCAGAGGTGTGTAACAAAGGTGTGTGTGTGTGTGTGCATCTCATCCCAGTGTGTGTGTGCACAACTGACCCCCAGTGAGTGTGTATGTGTGTGCAACTCACCCCCAGTGAGTGTGTGTGTGGGTGTGTGCAACTCATCCCGATAGTGAGTGTGTATGTGTAATTCACTCCCAATGTGTGTGTGTGTAACTCAAGCCCAGCGAGTGTGTGTGTGTGTGCAACTCATCCCCAGTGTGTGTGTGTGTGTGTGTGTGTAACACACCCCCAGTGAGTGGTGTGTGTGTGTGTAACATACCCTCAGTGGGTGGTGTGTGTGTAACGCACCCCCAGTAGGTGGTGTGTGTGTGTGTGTAACGCACCCCCAGTGGGTGGTGTGTGTGTGTGTAATGCACCCGCAGTGGGTGGTGTGTGTGTGTGTAACGCACCCCCAGTGGGTGGTGTGTGTGTGTGTAACGCACCCCCAGTAGGTGGTGTGTGTGTGTGTGTAACACACCCCCAGTGGGTGGTGTGTGTGTGTGTAATGCACCCGCAGTGGGTGGTGTGTGTGTGTGTGTAACGCACCCCCAGTGGGTGGTGTGTGTGTGTGTGTGTGTGTGTGTGTAATGCACCCCCAGTGGGTGGTTTGTGTACCCCTGGCTCAGGAGTGGGTCTGACCTTTACCCATTTTTATTGAGCTCTCAGCATCTCTCCTTGACTATTTCTGTTCAGTCGATTAAAGTGCCATAGTTGCATAATATAAATAACTGAAGCAATTCAGGCTTTAGAGATGCCTTAATAATAACTATTAACTGCTGGAGATTTACCTTTCATGTTTACAGTGATACCAAACCTTTTTTTCCCTTCAATTAAACTGAAAATTGATATCTCAGGACACTCTTGATCTGAAATTAACTATTTGTTGAGTATTTTTATAAATGTACAGTATTTATAAGAAGAAATATGGTTATGACCTTTGACTCTTGCAATGGTGTCTTCGCCATGCTCTAGCTCATGCTGAGTGGCTTCACCCTCTGAACTCTCTTCGATTGTATCCGGATACACAGTTGGGTTTCCAGCAGACAGTCGTATATAATATTCTTTACTATCGTAGCTTATAGCTCTACGGTAGCGAGCAGGTTTCTGTAACAGCAACAAACATTGCAATTTATTTTTAAAGGCATAGATTACTTTTAATCAGGTCGCCACATTCATAGCAAGTGAATAATACCTGTATTTGCCACTAGTGTCTCATCACGTTTAACAGGCTCAAAGCGCCTCGCTCATTTAACTGCTCTGAAGTGCAGTGACTGTTTTGTAGGTAAACAAAGAAGATCATCTACACAAACAATCTCCCAGAAACAGCAATGTGATGGAAGACTGACTCCGTGTTCTAGGTTAACTTGGATGAAGGAAAGAAAATCAGCTAGGACATGATCAGTAATTTGAAATAATGTTGTTGGATCTTTAATGCCTCATCCAAAGAATAGCATCTCCAATAACGCAGCACTGCCTGAACACTATTCTGAAGTTACGAGTGTAATTTTCAGATTGAGGCTTGAAGCCAGAAAGCTTGAAGAACTTTCTGACCCAGACAAAAATGCTATCAACAGAGCCAAACTGGATTCAATGATAACCAGCTTTCAAAATAACGATTAAATATCGTAAATATACTGAAGATTTCTCTTGTAATATGACTTGGTACTTTTTTTAAAAATGACATTATAATGAACCACATAGTAAAACAATACTTAAAAAACAAAGAACAGTTTAATATATGTATATACTTTATACATAAAGCTGTTTTCATTTTGGGGGGGGGGGTCAGGGATAAGAAGGAAGAGCAAAGGAATCACATTGTGTTGTTCTGATTCTTATTTGGTGACAACATGTTTCAGATCACACAGGACACAATATTAGCAATGATGTTATTTCAAGTGCTCGGGTGAGACTCCAGCCCAAGAAAGCCTGTTAGTGCACAGTGTAAAACAATCTGTAGAAATCGCTCCCAGTGACAAGTGTAAAGTACTAAATAAATCCAGCTGTGAAGAGTGAATATCTTGTAACTCGATAGGGTGCATGAAAAGCAATTGTAGAGCTGTTTTGCAATGCCCACCATGCAGGTTACATTAAGGGGTAGAGCGACCACTGCTTTTTGCTGGGGGGAAGGGAAAGTGTTCCTGTTACCTTCTCGCAAACCATACTGTCACCGTCAAACCAAGGCACCTCGGGCAGTTTACTAGCGGTGATAGACTAAACAAGGTATCAAGAATAATATGGGAAATATTAATCAGAATTACAGCATCACGAAGACACCTTTTTATCTAGTTGCAAATATTTTTTAGGTACAGATATACACAAGCAGCAGAATAACAGCAGGTGGCAGTACAGACTGCAAATGAAACGTGCTTTCACACAAACAGTTTCGAGAGTGGACGGGAAACAGGTTTTATGTTTTACAGCGCAGAGGTGAAAATGGGTGTACTGCACATTTGGAACTTGTAATCTTTTCTGGAATGGAAAGATAAATGGTTTGTTACAGAGAGTATATTTATTTACTAATGGTTAACTTACCAAAAATAAGCATTACAAAATCATAATCAAATGCAATATAGAACTCCCCACTGACTTTAGACTGAAGGAAAGAACTTGCATTTTTATAGCACATTACATTGAAATGTCTCCACATGTTTCAAATAAAATAACAACCAAATTCACTTTATAGGCAAATGTGGCAGCTATTTTGCTCCATAAAGGTCCCAGGAACAGTCATGACGTGAATGACCAATTAATCTGGATTGCTGTTCTGGATACTGGGAGAAATGTCCTTCTTTTATTGAATAGAATCATAGGATCAAAGCGCATAGATCAGAAGTCTACCTTAGCTATGCCAAAATATAGCACATTAACAAAAATTACAGGGCAAGCCTCTTGTGTCCTCCAGGAAGCAAAAAATAAATCAATTGCACATCTAGAAATTGAAATGAAATAATTGAGACTTTGTTCCTAACACCACAGGCAGGAATGCTAAATTATTTAAGATCAAATAGATGGACAACTTGACTTCCTTATTTTTCAATGCAATCCTTACTCGGGCATTGATACATGAACTGCTAAATGTTACGATCTTGGTATTTATTTGATGAAGCCTATGGTTGAGGCATTCCTAAAACAATGTACAGTTTCACCATCATATTGTCTAATGGTTTGGATTTGTGCTCACCACACGACTTAGTGATCTGGCAAGTTAATCAATCTCATGTTTGAAATGTCACTTATGATTTGATCAACTTCTGTAAAGGAAAAAAAATGAGTTAACATTCTAATTAATTTTCAAACGCCAAAGAGGTTTTTAAATCCCATTAATCAGTTTACACATCGTCCGAAGAAAAAAGGCAGCCAAGCTTTACAGCACCCAGATGCTTAATGATTCATGAAGTCGTGCAGAGATTATTTGTTCAGTTTCAACAGCACTCACCAGCAGACTGGTAGACTCCTGTTCATTTTCTGGTAAATACGCATAATGTACATAAAACATGTCATTCCGCACCATCTTCTTCCTCATTCGACAGGGTCCCTCTGGCATTTCAAGCATCCACTTATCTAGATGTGACCCGATAGGAGGACCCCACAAGCCTCTCTCTCGCAGTAACTCGTTCTCTATCTGAGCCCATTCCTCCGTTACATATTTCAGGGCATTTTGTTGTCGCTGCAAATAAGAATTAAGGTTCTAAAGTAAGTGGATGCAAAGAAAGGTGTACACCAAGACGAGACAAAAAGTTTCCAGATACTATGTCAACATAACATTCATTGAATAAAATATATTTCCCTAATAGATCCAATTCTGTTGAAGTCATTTGAGGTAGTAGAATAGAAGAGGGTACAGAGAAAAAGGGGGAAACTATAATTAAAACAGTTAGCTCCAATGGTTGAGTTTAGGCTAGTTGGTCTGAATAGCTCCCTTGTATGCTGTAATTTCTATGATTCAATGTCAATACTGTCTTGAAAAAGCATAATTTTGTAAAACTCTTTTTGCATCAAGGGTCTTGCACACATGACTCACAAATTTGGAGATAGTTCTTATCAAGGCAATTTTGGTCTATACTTTTAAAAGAGCAAAATGGTCACAGACTAATTTTCTGATAATTGTAAGTCAGAGAAAAAAAATTAAGAGCAAACGCAAACCAATCATCTTTTAGCACTCACCTACATCAACCTAGAGGCCAATGACGTTGTACCTCATTTATACTGCGTCTTGGCACTTTGATGCTAAATGTTGCAGAGTACATGGTGATTCAGCGGCTGTGAATTGTGTTGGACACCAAATCTGACACCACAAAAGGTTTCAGTAACAGTGCAACTCGCCTCACTGTAAACGCAGTAGGTGTAAATCCCGCTGGGCTCCCCCCCATGAACTGCCGAACCAACAGATGATTTGAGAGTACAGTGGATCGGATACTTAATAATATGATTTTTTTTAAGTGACATGATGCAAAACTGCAGCATTATGTTAAAAAAAAGTCTGGTTCAGAGTCACAAATGGTAAATTGACCCTTTGAGTCACTGATAATCTATGTATGTGACTGATCTTTTATCACACTGCCAAAACACTCCAGACTCAACTTCAAAAGTCCTCACCAGCTTTCTCCACACTGCCGCCCCCACCCCGACTTGCACAAAATATCACATGGCCATCACCCCCACCGACCAGGCTCTACTGACTCCCGGTCTGCAAGCAGATCAACTTCAATGTTCGTACCCTCACAACAAATCACGCTTCACACGCTCACAGCTCAGCAAACTCAATCTGCTGCACATCCTCCCAGATTACCATTGGCAGCCGATCCTTCAGGCACTATAATCCCCATTCTCTGGAATTCTCTCTTTATCTCTCCATCTTGTCCCATCTCTAAAAACATCTGGTCCCTGAACAGGACTGCTTTCTTCCACCTCCGCCACATTGCCCGCCTCCGACCGTACCTTACCCCAAGTGCAGGCGAAACCCTCGTGCACGTGTTTGCCTCCCGCTTGGATTACTCCAACCCACTTCTTGCCGGTCTCCTCAGCTCCACTATTCACAAGATGCAGCTCATTCAGAACTCTGCCGCCTGCATAATGACCCGGACCAAACTCCCCTCTCTTGCCCCCTCTCTCCCCGCTTTCAAGTCCTGCCTGAAAACTTTCCTCTTCGAACGTGCTCATAGCCACTTCCCCCCTCCCCCCGGCTCGGAGTCAGGGTCCGCCACTGTTAAGTGCTATGGGACGCTACCCTGCATGGAGGGTGCTATATAAGTGCCAGTTGTTGTAAAAACCTAACACTTCGACCATGCCAACAGTCACCCCTCCCAGTTCAATGTTTGGCACTGACTCTGTAAAATGCTCTGAGATATTACTCTACGTGAAAGGAACTATATAAATGTAAGCAGAGGTTGATGGATAATATGCAGAGAACTTCAAGTGAAGTAACAGATGTTCCTCATGTGCAAATGCTGCTGAACCCTGCGGAAACAGCACTGTCTCCAAGTTTAAGAAGATAAATTCAAAAGGCAAGTGATGTGAAAGGGAAGTATATACACAGTACGAAATTGGAGTAGAACAAAAGAATGCCAACTGTCTTGTGTAAGATTTAAGTAAGCCCAAGGGATTTAGAAAAAATATTAAAGATTTTCTCTTGGATTTTCTATGTTATTTTTACTTCTGTGTGCAATGCTATTGCTGGTTTGAACACCGTTTTTTTCTTGAAATAATGAGTCCTGTGATACAACATCAACGTCAAAGCAAGTGGTGCAACTAAAAAAAACTTTCTTTTTCTTTCGTTTCCAAGAACTGGAAAATAGAAAGTCAATCTTCAGCACAGCGCAGCTGGAAGTTTAAAAAAACACTGCACATCTAAGGCAAATTCTGAGAATCTGCCTATGTATATATACATCATTTAGTGTATCCTCCCTTGATGGGATCACTGCATATAACTAAATCTTTGAATACTGGCTCAGAAGAGATGGGATTAATAAACTGAATGCCTCAGTAAATACAGTAGAGCCCCATTATAAGGTGCTAGCAAGCGGGGCTCATAAAATTTCAACCCATCCTATAATGGGGCAAGAGCAGCCTATATGTCCGCAAAGCTGCCTGGTTTCTTACCCACTAACAATGTGTATGTGCAACAAGCAGCACAGCATTGGCAATGGCGTGATGACCTAGAAGGGAAGCTGATCATTTGTTAGCAAGAAGGAAGTTATCGAGTTGGTCCGTGCACTCAAACTAACTGGCGTTCCACGGGGCAACTGCCTTCTAAGCAATCCAGCATCATAAGAGAATTATAGAGGAAGCTTTATAATAGGTTCTATTGTAGCTCTTGGACAGCTCCAACACGCATTGAGCCTTCGGCTCACCATGCAAATACAATATTAATAATAAATGGAACCCTTACCTCCTGATACTCTTTATACTGCATATCCAATAAATCCCGCACAACGGCAATGTGAGTAAACATCCACTGCGAGGCTTCCTGAGCGGAAAAAAGCAAATCAGGAAGCTGTAGTATTCACATCTGAAATGTCAAATGTTTATAAAGCCATCGTTGCAAGCATTCAAGTTATCTTGTCTAATGTCATGGAGATACGGTGACTCTGTGATCAGTATGTCATCCATCCAGGCAGATCGAGAACAGCTGCCTACGCTACATTGAATACTCTTAATCGATGTATAAATTGCCTACTTGTACAAAGTCGCTTTTTTTAAAATAAATTCAACTCAAGCAGTCCAAAGAGCCAGTGATTGATAAATCGAGGAAGTGAAGGGTCAAGCAGGAACAGAGCGACAGGGAGAGGATAAGGGAGTCAGTCTACTGCTGGTTACATTGGCAGGCATGTGAATCGCTACAACATAAATTTCACTTTCTAGGATGAGTCTGGTTTATACTAGAACAAATCACATTGTAGAAGTTGGACCTATACACAGTGTATTGTATATGAGAGGTTTTTACGTGAGTCTATATTGGGATTGTAGCTCTAAAATATAACCAACAACACATGGTTAGGGTCACAGCATTGCTAAACAACATACTGTATTACTGCTCGTTTAAATTACATGGCCTTTTGCTGCTTAGCATGTATTGGAATACTACACTTGTATCGGCATCAGAGGCGTTGTTATTCTCCCTTAGACGTGCGGCTCGCTCAGACAGGACAGGGTAAAACTAGACCATCTACCTGTGCTGTGAGGTGGTTTTTACTGATCCCACTTTCCTTCCGGTTTCGCCTGGAACCAGTCAGCTTTGACAGACCAAATCCACTGCTAACCCGTGACAATTTGGATTGTGCGGCTGGTGCTACAGTTGTCTCACCTCTGCTGATGTATTTCTTTTCATGGGCTACATAATGGGCAAAAAATGGGGAGAGAAAGAAATCAGTCAGTTTGCTCATTCCAGTGATCCATTGTTGAAAAGCAACAGGAAGGAAATTAAAACCTGTGAAAAATTGTCAATGAAAACTAGTAACTTCTAAAATCTCTTGTGCAACCAATACAATCAATTTCTGGACATAAACACAGCAGTGAATCAACATCTTGTCAAAACTAAATATGCTACACTTAGTGGTCTTGTAAACTAACTATTTGGGTTGGAGTTACAGAGGGTGGGTGCAGAAAGGCTAAAGACCCAACCTCCGATGGTAGAGAGACCTGTAACACACGGTGACGTTGCACAGAATGAACAGTGCCTTATCAAGATTACAATTTTAGGCAGCCCATGAATCAGATGCTAATCTGATAAACGGGGGAGATTGGCATATACTTCAGAGTTGCCTGTGTTTTTTAAATGTATATCTGAACTTTTATACAAATACCATACAACAGTTGTTTTACACCAGCCGATTAGACAGCCAATTTTCTCTACAATATTATCTCCCCACATCCTGAACTTCAGGCGGCCTATACAGAACTAGCAGTGTACTGTTGAGCATGAGATCCTTTTTGTAATCTGAGGTGCATATTTAGATTATTGGCTGGTGATGGGTTTCCACATGTGTTAGAAAAAAAATCTCCAGGGAGAATGCACATTCCATTCCAGACACAGGGAAATTTCCATGTACAGGTGGCATACATATGTGGAGCTCAGTCTGGTTTGGATATTCTTAAGCAAGATAATGGGTTTCCTTGTATCTTTTTTTTGTCAGCCAGGTGTCCAACACATGCAGAAACCCATCACCGTGTTTAAGAATATCCAAACTAAAAAGAGTTCCATGCATCACACCTATACATGGAAATTCCTGTGTATTGGAATGGAATGTGCATTTTGCTTACATAATTTCAAAGAGTATTAGGCACAGCCACGCAAGAACCAAGGCTTAGGGACCCCAGGGGTCAGTTGGGATACTACTGGAGTTTAACCAGCTAAAACCGCATAGCTTGCCATTGAAAGCTCCGCTTGACAAGCTTTCCTGCTGCTCATTCAGCAAGCACCACCCTACTTCATCTTACTATCCACTATCATCTTCACATGCCCCTGTAGAAATGTGGTTAACATGGTCCAAAGGCAAGGTTTTGTAAGAGGAAAAATGCACATTTCAAGTGAAATATTGTGGAACATGTCAGAAGGAAATCAATATCAGGTCACGTAAGGTCACTTATAAATATTAGTAGATCTGTTAGAGCCTTTCAAGTTCCTAATTAGGTGATCAAATCAATATCAACTGCTGTGCGCAATTGGCTGCCGCATTTCACCCACAAATATAGTCAATTCACTTTACAGTCGATTCTGTCAAGCGCTTTGAGACGTCTAGAAGTCGTGAAAAGCCTATATCAAATGCAATGATTATTATTATTATTGGACAATTGTTGGGGCAGTGAAGAGGAAATGCTTGAAATAAACAAAAATCCATTTTACTGGTTTGCTTTCGTAAACCCAGAAAAACTGGACATTTGTTTTGTTCAGTTTAAAAAATTATAGTGTTACAATAATACAAAGCAAATTTACATTTGTATAGCACCTTTCATGTCTGGAGACGTCCCAAGGCACTGGATAGTCCAAGGTTTGCAGCCGAGTAGGGGTGGGGCTTGAGGGAGTGTGGAGAGGTGGAGGGAAAGAAAGATTGCTTAAAGTGCAATCAAAGGGTAAGGTTTTGAGGTAGACCATGAAGGAAGCAAGAGAAGGGCAGAGCGGAAGGGACTCTGGGATGAAGTTCCAGAGGGCACGGGCAGATATGTTGAAAGCCTTACCGCTGATTGCAGGGGTGGGGTGGGTGGCACGGAGAAGGTGAAGCAGGCTGGTGACTGCTGAGCAGAGGAAGGGGCCGAGTTGGTAAAATTTGAGGAGGATACAGAGGTAGTTTGGGGCAAGACCATGGAGGGAATTAAAGGTTAGGACAAGAAACTTGAACTTGATCCGCAGGGGGATGGGGAACCAGTGGAGCTTGGCAAGGATGGGGGTATTCAAAATATAGTAAATATATATATAATATATATCTACACATACAGTATTTGTTTATCATAGAAATTTACAGCATAGGATCGCGCTATTCTGTTTCTCTGAAAGAGCTAGAGCTCTCTGCTTAGTTCCTTTCTCCTGCCTTTCCCCCAATATCCTTTTGGCCTGCAAATACAGTTGCTACTCTTTACAGAAAAACTTTGCAAAGCATGTTTAGACATTTCAACTGATAAAGCACCATATCAAATGTAAGGACTATTTATTATTCGACAAGTAATTATATTTCTAAAAAAGCCGAATAAGATCACTAGAAGAAGGTAATGTGTCACAACACCGATCAGTTAAGGCGCTTAAAGTATTACTGTCAGGTATTTTGATTAAAATTACAGTCCTTACTGTTTAGAAGATTTCACAGTAAGGGATACTAAAGTAGTTCCTCCTCCCCAATCCCTCTTTTTATAGTGACCTGAGCTGTTCTACAATGAATGTCAGAAATAATTGCCACTGGATTTGGTGAACGGATAATCAGAACATAATGGGTTTTGTACAAATAGGAATTCTAATTGAAAATGGAACAAGTCAATAACATTGCCAATCTGCACAATCCTATATGAAATATTTATGTATTTATTTCGTGAAGGCAGCTTCTGAGACGAGGTTGGAGAAACTGACTGTCCCAGTTCCAATTTAGCGGAGTATTTTTGAAAAGTATTCACACCAAAATGTGAAGAAGCCAGCATTTGTAAATTAAAACTATGGTTAGGAAGTAAAAAATCAAATTCCACCAGATTAATTTTTGAAGCTTGGGGCTGTATGCATCTGCCATCATCTCTCCGCCCCACATTAAAATGATGTCAGCAAGGAAGCCAGCCTGCAAGGAGGACACAAGCAACACAGCAACAGACTAGTGCTGATTTAATTACCTGCCACTGCCACTTGCAGGCAGATATACAAGATTTGTTACATGGCATCACACAAAATCTTATTGTGCAAAACAGCAGGAGTTGGGATAGAGTTTATTAAAATTACATTTCCTTAGTCAAGGGAATAGTGTGCTGTCCTCCACTGTAATTTTAACGTTTGAAAGCTAAGTGATCAATTTCTTTCTGAACAGTTTCAAAGCCAAATTATAATGTAAGTGGCAGTAAATAGGAACCGATTGTTGATTGTTTTACAGCAGACAAAAATCAACTTTCAATTGTGTGACTGCAGTAAGCTGTTTTCATGTAGAATGATTTCAGTTACTGAATTATATTAGCACTGCTTGAAGCTGAGGAGCATATTCCAAAATAAAAATTAGGGCTCATTTGTGGGTGGACGGCACTCATAAATTAGGGTTGGTCCACTGTTGAACACTAACAGATCATAACAGTAACTGGCCTCATATCGCAGCATTTTTCCTTTGCAGATTTAAAGTGCAATAATAATAATCCTTCCAATTTGATATAGTGCCTTAACATGTCTTCGAGATGTCTCAAACCGCTTCACAGAATATACAATAAAGTGAACTGACTGTATATTTTGTGAGTGAAATGTGGCAGCCAATTGTGCACAACAGTGTCCCACAAACAGTCGTGGATTGAGTGAACAAATTATTTTTTTTAAAAAATATTAATAATAATCCTTATAATTTGATATAGTGCCTATCAAGACAATGCTATAGAGACATTGTGAGATGTTGCACTGCTGAGACTGATGGCTGATGTCTCAAAGCACCTCACAGGACACACTGCAAAGTTTGACTGTGTATTTTGTGGGCAAAACTTATTTTGTTAAGAGATGAGATGAGGGAGCATTACCTCACCCAGAGGGCGGTGAGAGTATAAGACAATGAAAGGAAACAAAGATTAATCAGGGGCAGGTTAGCATGGTTTCTTTTTTGAAAGAGGAAAACGAAAGTGGAAACCAATCTATAACAATATATTAGTTCTTAACGAATTGTAACTAAAATATGATGCTTGTAAATGATCAGCAATATAAGTGTGTGCATACATGTGTGGTGGGGGAGGCAGAGAATCAAGAGGCAGACAACACTTACAGGAACAGAGGAGCAGGAAAGAAAATAGGCCAGAGAGTTTTCACATTAATAATAGAATAAGTACTTGCAATTCCCTAGACACTGCATTAATATTGCCCACTCCCTCCTCTGAGTCTTATAGTTTATTGGTGTAGCAAAGAGGGAAGAGTGTCTCTCTCTCTCTCTCTCTCTCTCTCTCTCATGCACACAAATGCTCCTGAGGACTGTACTTCAAAAAGAAGAGAAACATGTACTTTAGAGGTAAAAATATCTGCAGTGTCAATGGAATGTGTGGCTTTGAAATATTTATTGCGAAAGCAAATCACTGTTGTGACAAAATTGAGATAACTGGAAGCCTGGAGGTTGTAGGGCGAGTGTGAACATGAGAGTTTTATTTAGCTTCCCTGAATTCTCTCTCTCAAAGTCAGGCGTCTCCTACACCCAAAAAGAGCAGTGAGAGAAGGAAAAGGAGGTTGTAGTTAACCCACACAGCACCTTTCTGATCTTGAGTGACTGCCCAGAGGCACGCAAGATCAGCCTTCCATTCCAGGCCACATTAATACAACACCGTACTTTCTCCTCGATTTACTCTGATGTTTCAGAAAAGTTCTGTTCTGTGCGATACAAAATGAAAGCAGCTCAGGTTTTGCAAAAAAACAGGTTTGAGCTCTGTTCTTCCACAAATTATCTGTCCAGAAATGGAATACTTACATTTTATACAGCATCTGGTGTGTAGCTAACTTGCACCAGCATCATTATCGCACAATAAGGAATAATATATAAATGACAGAGTGTGATCATTATCTGGGCATTTTTAGATTAGCAGGAATATTGACCAGGGCAATGGGAACATTTTCAAAATAGTTCCTTGAAATCATTAAGGGGACAGGTTAGGAGATTTTTTTCACACAGAGTAGTTAGGATATGGAGTGCACTGCTGAGACTGATGGTTGAGGTAGAATCCATATTGACTTTCAAATGGAGTTAGCTGCAAGGGTACGGTGACAGAGCAAGAAAATGGGACTGAAAGGATTGCTCTTAAAAGAGCCAGCGCAGACATGATGGATCAAATGGTCTTCTCTGTTGTAAATTCCTATGGTTCTACCAATCTTTGGGAAGAGGGATTCTTCGCTTTCGGCTCCCATTAACCTTGTACTCCAAAGCTCTAATGGGTAGGGTGGTACTACCAGGAAGCTTGCCAGGAACTGTTCACAATGTATGCTTCATGGAGTTAGATCCCACCAGGATCCATCACAAGCTCTGGAGTTCCCAAGCCTTGGCCTTGCTAACCTATTTTGTATTTATTAGACACATGATTGACCAACATTTAACATTTTTTTGTGAATGATTGATATACCAAGTGGATGCTGGGAAACAACAGGATGTGGTAAGCATCAATTTCCTTTAAGTATTGAATAAAGTACCACCTGAGAGACTGCTTTAGAAATGAATGTGATAAGGAGAGATAGGGAGGGTGCCATGCAGACAGGTATTGAGTTGGTGTCTCACTTATCTGTGCTGGGCATCTGCTATTCTCAGTATACATGAATGATCTGAAATTTGCTGACTCAGTGTGAGATAATCAACTTTGCAGATCCTGCACTGACTGAAGAAATTGCTGTGAATTGTCAGCAAATCCATTCTATGAACCTGTTTTGTTTGTTACTCACAACCCCACATTCTCAATTTCATTTTCAGTATTTTAGCTTAATATCCTTGACGTTCAGCAGCAACCACAATTCTGAATTTCATTTAAAACCAGCAACACTGCAACAATCATTTGCCAAAGAAGCAGTCAAGTGCTAAGGCTTCTAGATTTCTATAATACCATGTTATTAGCAGGGTTAGGTAGTGTGTAAGAATGGCGCAGGGAATGGACAACTAAGGTCAGAAGCTCATCCCAATGTGGAGAATTGTTTGAGCACCAACCCAGTCATTCTGTTCAAGAGTGGTCAAGATCAGGTCAGGATTGTGACTGTAAGAGCTGGGAGAGTGGTTCAGAAGTTATTTTATTCTATGTGGAAGGTTATTAGAACTGTGTCATAAGTGGTTGAGGTTAGGACTCTAACATTTAAAAGAGAATTGGATAAACATGTGAAGAGGAATACAATACATATTATACAATTAACATTTATATAGCACTTTCCACGTTTCCACGTGAGGATGTCTTAAAGCACTTAAACAATATTAAGAGGGTAAGGGGACAGAGCAGTGAATTTGGATTAGAGCCTGTAGCTCCAGTGGCAGAGATAGCACAAACATAGATCAATTGGCTCAATTCACATGCTACAACAGGTAATACACATCCATTCACAATTTACTTTGGCTGCATCCAAGTTGAATTTGTTATCAGAATAAATAAATAATGAAAAATGATGCACATTAAGGAAGAAATCAGTGCTGTGTAGAAACTGGTGGACTCCAGCAGCTTCTTGTTGAAAAGGAGAAACAAATTGCCAATAGCTATCCCGACCCACCCCACTTCTAATATAGACACCCAACAACTAGCCTCCCAGATACATACACCTAATCCCAGCCTTTCTTATTATTTTCATAATTGTATTACATATTGTTCAGAGAAATGGATCCGTGTTAATTATGGTCAAGGCTGGCAGTCTTTTGTTTGGTTGTGTCTATTTTTCAATGTTTCTTGTTTTAACAGTGAGCATTCAAGACATTATCAGAATACTGGGTTAAAGGAATTACTGAGCTGACCGTTTTGGAACTGAGTCAATAGTTGTAGAATTAGACATAAAGCCCAAGGCTTATATACACTAAACTCCGCCTGTTAATGCAGCTTCCTCACACTCCAAGCTAATATGCCTGTGATACCAGCTGCACCATTGTTCAATCAAAAGTTATTTTAAAAATGACAAACTAAAGAGGGAAAAAAATAAATAGATGTTGGCAGGAATAACTCTTGGTAATAATATTCTGCTATTTAAAAAAAGGGAAGCTGAATGTCTATGAAACTGTATCCAATACATTTTATGAGTGAGCTATATCTTCTGTATTATCTAATAAATGATCTAATACAACACTTATGATTAATGTGTCTTAAATCAAGAGAAATTATCCTCAACTCCATGAATATTATTCATTGAGAATTACCCTTTAGTTCACTTAAAATAGCTTCTGACAGCAGTTCCTACCTAAGTGGTTCTGCCAGCATTTTAAAGTAGCATCCTCAAGAAGTGATCGAGCGCTGTTCAAATCCACAAGTCCACGCTCATTTGTAGGTAGTGTTATTTTAAAAATGTCCTCCAGAGCTTGTTTTTTGCCAACAATTAGCTCAGTCCACACCCGGCTTACGGCTTTGAGTAGAAGCTGACGACCTAAACGACATTTTTAAAAAAAAAACATACGTTAATCCCATTTTTAATTATCAGAATTCCTAAATGTATTAAACTAAACACAGATAGAAACACAAGGTTGATTCCTTCATCATGAAATCAATGACTAGCTTGCACCAATTTTCTTTCCCCTCCACTCAGTGGCAGACTGGCTCCCCGAAAGGGCTGCGACTTTGAAAGGGACTTCCCAGTACCTGCCATCCATCCACTGAGGGTTCAAACCCACGTTTATTGGATGTTAAACTAGTGACTATCCCCCTTTGGGTGGGTTGGCAGGGTGTCCAACTGAACTGGTTCCATTCGCATAGGAATGTCAGAATCAAGCCCATCCTCTGTAGCGGTCTCGGCAGTGCAGTTCCTGAGCTAGTAAGCCAGGCGAGTCCACAGTATTCCAGGGCACTGTTGACAGTTCAGCCAATGTGGCTCATCAGCAGGACTTGGAAGAGCAGATCAATCACTTGGGCGGGGATTCTTCCCACCCATTACCCATTAACCCTCAAGCCAAAGCCCTAACGGGTTGAGTTGTCTTAGCTGGACAAGCAGTGGGAAAGCTTGCCAGGCAGTGCTATCAATGGCAAACTGTGTGGTTTTAGCTGGTTAGTCTCCAGCAGTACTTCAACACACACTCTGCGGTCCCTAGCCTTGGCTCTTGCCAACCTGTGCCTAATACTTCCTGTAATTAAGTAAGCAGGATACATCCCTCCAGGGAGAGAGTACACATTCCATTCCAACAAACATCTCTGGAATTTCCATGTATAGGTGGGATGCATGCAACTCATGGTGTGGTTTGGATGCTCTTAAGCTTGTTGATGGGTTTCCACATGTGTCAGGACACCCAGCTGACCAAAAAAAAACTCATCAGAGAGGCTATGGGTGATGATTGGCTTGTCTGAGCTGGCACTCACCCAGATGTCGAGCTTTGGCGTATCAAGGGTCAATCACAGGGAGTGGGGGAGGCTCAGGAACATTCATGGGGTACCCAGGAAATTTCCCAATTTCCCAGACAGCCAGTCTGCCACTGCCTCCAGTTTTTTCAGTTCATTTCTGAAGGTGCAATCTGCAGTGTAGTTCCAGATCTACAGGTGCCAGGAGCCTTGGAGTATGTTATCTAAATGGCCTTTCTTCGTGGGTGACCCTGGAACAATCAGGGTCAAAAGCCAATCTGAGTGGAGAGAATCACAGGCAAGACTGACCTTGGTCTTCATCTGGCATCTGGATGCACATTTCCACTAGAAGTGACTGACCAGCTACTAATAGTGGTTAAAAGAATTTCTGAAATAATAATCTCACATTTCTATATGAATCAAAGAAATCAAATATTTGTCCAAATCTGAGATCCACATTTTAACCGAACTGCAAGAATAATTGCAGTAATTTGCTGCTGTGACACATGTCAATGTGTTGAGAAGATTTGGTTTGCAGAATGTTCTGCAGTGATTGGTATTGGTTCAGTGCAAATTACATGAGATTAGAATAAGTCCACAACTGAAACAAGGTAAAACCAAGGTGCCTATCCAGTGCCAACAATGGGCAGACTGAAAGGCATATCCATCATATTTAACAACTTTAACTCGTTCAGATTCATCTCACTCCATATAAAACAGCCTTTAGAATGCAAATATGCCACCATCAGCAGCGCAGCTTCACCAGAAAAATAAAGATTTGCAGTTCTCTAAAGCAGTGGAATCAGTTTCTGTGGAACAAATCATCACAAGGCATCAACAACTAAGCTATTGGTGAATGAAGAATCTAACCTGGGAAATATCCATTGCTGAATGGTCAGGCTGAGTGAGGGTCTAGTGAAAGAGCATGCTAATATATTCAGGAAAATTATTGAGGATGACAATAACACTACTTCATGCAATGCAGATGGAACATAAATATTCAGTGTCAAATCTTAAAAAGCAAGGCAATTTTGGTAAGCTCACCCGTTGATAGGAAAGTAAACTACATCTTTCACTTCACGCTGAGGAATCCTTATACACTAGGTGATTCTACAGCATGCTCCAAAAGCACTGTGCATTAATTATACTGCAATTATTTTAACTATTAATGTCCTGAACTTAGGTGCCCATAAAGTTGCTCATGAATTTTAAATTAATTAGTGATGAATCTCTACAATAATATTTATCTTTGAAATATACTGTGAAGTGAATTGACTGTATATTTTGTGGGCGAAACGCAGCAGCCAATTGCACACAGCAGAGTGGATCAGATAGACAATCAGATTCAACTAAAGGTACTCGTCAATAACAATGAATTTGGATTGCTCCCATACAGGACATTTTAAGTGCTTCGAGATGCTGCCCTGCATGAAGGGTATTGCATAACTGCAAGTGGTTGTTGTTATCCTATTGAGCACCACCAAGGACTTTGAAAAGATCATTGCTTAGATTAGATTATCTCTGCAGCATGTCCTGCCATTATGTTTGCCTTCCTGAAAAGAAATGACAATTGCCCAGTGGGCCAGCTATCCTGAGTACTATCTTGAATATTTCAGGTGACCATAAGCATTTTCAAGAACAGAAAAAGGTCATTTGGCCCCATCAAAAACAGCTGCTAAAAACTTCCAAGTTTAATTTCTCATGTGATATTTACTTTCCCTCACCAGCTGTTAACTTTGTCTAAAGCTCAAGGTTAGTCAAAGATTAGTTAGTCAAAGACATTTGTATTGGGGAAGCCATTTTTCTACATGTCTTTCATTTCTGAACAAGTATTAGAAAAAAGCTCATTGTGTGAAAGATGTTCCTTACACTCACCTCTGCTTAACATCTTCTCTGCCTTGGGCGCAATCTTGTTCTAGTTTAACAATACTGCTAAAATCATGTCTCTAAACTCCTTCAAATACATGCTCACAAACCCACATGCACTTTCTCCTCTTTGCACCCTCTGTGTAGAAATCAAAACACCATAACATCGCCTATTTGAAAGCAGTCATTTTCATGGATTCGAGACTCTGGTATCTTATGGGCTTCCAATTGCTTGTAAAAAAAAATCAAAGAATTGTGCTACAACATTGCAACCAGTTAATAGATAATATGGAATCCAATTATACAAGCAGTAATGTGAAAGTCACTCGAGTGAGAAGAACGCATTGAAGATTGTAATTACCCTCACTGATATCTTGGCTATGACCTCCATCAGGTTCAAGATCAGAAGGTATCATGATATGCCATGTTGTCATTCTTGCTTCTGCTTCCAGCCCAAATCCATCAAGGTTACTGCAAGAGTTCATTGCACAGAATAAATACATTGATGTCGAATGTAATAAATCAAGATAGTACTTGGCCGCATTTTAGTATCTGAACCCATGCAGTGGAAGAATATGTAATACATACTTGACGGTCTACATAATCTGACATATTGAGTCAGCCCTGATCAAATCAGAAAATAGATGATTCAGACTACCTTGATTATACAGTCATTTAGGCCCATTCTCCAAGACCCAAAGAGTAGTTGTCTCCTCATGTCCGATTAAATCTATCGCTAAACTTAGAAATGGCTGATACAAACTGTGCAGCATTCCCAATATAACTCACGCAACTTGCAAACAACAGGAATTAAAAAACAGGGTATACATTTCTATATTGGCTTCAAACAAATGCACTTTCCAGATTGTTAGAAAATCTGAATTGCTTGTGCTTAATCTTCCCTTTTCCCACTCTGTCAGAAATACTTTTTTTTAATGTTATTTTGGTCACTAATTTGATTCCCAATTTTGACCACAGCCTCAGAGAAAGTTACAATCACCCTCTAATGCATGCAGCTTCACCTGAAATACAAACTAATAACTTGTTTTCCACCCCACCCCCCACCCCGTCCCAAAACAGTTCCTAAAGTTACAGATAGGTCAAAAGGGGTTGCTCTTGTCTATTTTACTGATTGCTCTATTTATGAAACACAAAACAAGCTATGATTATATCTGCAAATATTGTGTCAATGTATGGAATTATGAGAGAAGCACACACATACAGTATGTCATCCTTCGATAGAAATGGTGCATCACTCTGAAGGGGCAACTGTTTAAATTAAGGCTAATAAAATTTAAACAGAATTCTGCTTACAGATGAAGCCTGCTAGCATATTATTAAAAAAAATTGCAGAATGCAACATTATGAATAAGGCATGGTAGAAATTTCAAATAAATACCATTTTTAATTGACTTCATCTGTGAAAACTGCCATTTCAACTGTATAGTTCAAAATTATCTTGATAAGAATGATGCAGCAATGTACTAAAATATTACTAAAGCCTTTTGATATACAGTATAAAAGCTACCAAAAAATTAAAAAAAATATGTAAAAACTATAACCTGATGTGAAAAGCAATGCAAGTTTTTTTAACTGTTAAGAAAAAGGTACAAATTACAACTAGGCCAATACTTTCTGGTTTCCATTTAATTTAGAAGGCTTTCAAAAATCTTTTCAAGCACCTACCTTCCAACATGGAGACTGATTAAACAGTGGGCCAGACAGCCAATGAATTCCTGATCGTGGTTGCCAGGTCCCAGTATGAGATTGCGGTTGACAGTCAAAACCCTCAAGGAATCTAACAGAGCAACTTGCTGTGGAACAGTCTTATGTGGTCTTGACAGCTGGTAGAGGATGGTTCGATTCAAGCAGTGGTAAATAGGGTCAAGAGACAGCCCTTGGGACCTCCTTTTGGACTAGACAGAACGAAAATTCAAAGTTTATTAAAGGATCAAACAATTATACCTTTAGGTTCCTATTTCTAATGTCTGCAAGCCGAAGACTAGAAGAAAAATCACCATCGAACAGAGCTCGTTAAAAATATAGAGTATTAGCAAAATGTTGTTTATTGAATGAACATTAAGATTTTTTCAAACTAAAATACAACAGTCTAATTTGTGGTAATTCTTAATGAACCATTAAGGAATCCTGCACATTAAACCCAACAAAGGCAAAAGTATAGATAGTTTAAAGTTAATTTCTGTTATTCTGAAAATTTTAAGTTAAGTAAAAACAATTGAAATTGTTTTAAAATATTTTTCAGTAACTCTTGGAGATGTGTGTATCTTGTGGTACGGCAATGTCTTTTCCAGTATTATGAGCGAGTCTCCTTTCATGGAAATTTCAAAAGTAATTGTATGAAAGGAGACTCGCTCATAATACTGCAAAAGACTTTGCCGTGCCACAAGATACACACAGCTCCAAGAGATACTGAAAAGATACATACGGTTCTGCTCCATTTCTTTGTCATATTTAAGTATTCACTGATATTTCTATGAACTGTTGAAATCAGTCACTTCTCGAATGCCAATTCAAATATTTCCAATTCATCTTGTACATTCAGCATAATCTCAGGTTGTTTAGCCTTTAAATGGCAGGCGGTCGTCAATCTGGATTTTGGAGAATGTGCCTTTCTGCACTAACTTACCAATTTGACACCCAGGGAGCAATAATTTGACACTTTTTCATACAGCATGAATATCACAAATTGAGATCAATTTCCAGCAAAACTAGTCCTTTTTTTAATTACACAAAAACTCTGCTGCAAAAGATTATTTATTTCCAAAATATCAAAACACAATTTCCCAACAAGACTCAATGCATTTGCATGACCTGAAATTTAATGATCTCCTCCATGGTGCATTTGCATCGCTGGCTCACTATTCATGAACCCAAATATACAGAAATGCAAAGAAAAGGCGGCAATAATTATTATTGGCTCACATTTATATGACCATACTGCAAAAAAACAGACCATTCAGCCCAACTCGTCTGTTTTGGTGTTCATACATGAGTCTCCACCTACGTTTACTCTCTGTCATATCATTCTATTGCCTACTCTCTCATAAGTACATCAAACTTCCTCTTAAAAGCTTCTATAACTATCTGACTCAACCAGCTCTTTGGGGAGCAAGTTCAACATTCTCACTATCTTTTATATGAAGAATTTGATCCTAAGGTGTATTTTATTTCCTTGATATATTCCCAAATGCTGTTGAATATACAACAACAACCTGCACTTATATAGTGTCCTCCATGCAGGGTAGTGTCTCGGAGCGCTTAACAGTGGTGGAGCCTGACTCTGAGCCGGGGGGAGGGGGGAGGTGGCTGTAAGCACAATGGAACAGGAAAGTCTTCAGGTGGGACTTGAAAGAGGGTAGAGGGGGGGCAAGGTGGAGGGACTGAGGGAGAGTGTTCCAGAGCTTTAGGGCGTAGTGGCTGAAAGCATGACCTTCAATGGTGGGGTAGAGGGTGCGAGGGACGAGCAGGAGGCTGGTGTCAATCGAGCGGAGGCGCTGGGTGGTGGACTGGGGAGTGAGGAGGTTGGAGAGGTAGGGAGGTGCCAGGGTGTGAATGGATTTGAACACAAATCTGAGGTCTTGGAAGTCCATCTATTCGGTGATGGGGAACCAGTGGAGCCTGGCCAGAACTAGTGAGATATGTGTGTGGAGTTTGGTTTGGGTCAGTATGCTGAATATGCTGTTGAATTGTATCAAAATATATGTTTTTTATCACAAGTTCTGCTAACACCAGAAAACATACAAAAGGAACATCCAGGTTTTCACTGACTCGTAAAGCTCAGCTCTTTGCATGTATGATTTTTCCTTCTCCCCGTCCTCCCACCTACCGCGACAGGTTCTAACTTTTTAAAGCCATCTTCAGCAGGGTATGAAAGTACACCTGTGCCACATTAACCCTCTGCAATTTCATTCCTCAGTACAGTTTGCGCACCATTTGAAACATCAGGCCACAAAACAACCAAGAAAATTGGACACATATCACTGCTTATCAGTTTCAGTCTACCAGCCCAATTGTTAACTCGCACACTGACAACAAGGATTAATCAGATAACAATTCAAGCGATAATTCACTGCCTTTCTCTTTTGGGATTGCTAGCATTCACAGACCTAAAGAAATGTGATACAACTAGCCCACAACATTGGACGCTGAGCAAGTGATTCATGTAAAATGAAATGGTTTGTCCCACAACCATGAAAAAGCAAAAATGCACATCCTAACATTGCCTGTACACCTCAATACCTAGTCTGCACAGAACGAGGGGACGGTGAGGGCCTGCCTCAGGCTTGGGCACGCTAGATCAGGGACTATATACTGAGGGACAAGCTGAAGTTCGGTTCAACCACAGCAAAGGCCAGATGGGGCCTGACTCTGGCAGGAGCCGCTCCAGCACAACCGGCCCAGGGCGCACTCACTGGGTAGCCCACGAGGGCATCCAAAACTGACTGAAGTAAAGGTACAGGACTCTCGAGATGTAACCAAAGAGCGTAAATGTATGTACACATGTGCGTGTACGGTGCACATTGGGGCGCCTTGCGAAAGTGGCAAGTGCACCTTATCAGGGTGTGTGCGGGAGCGCATATGGATGTGGTGTAAACAGGGGCAACTCCCGACTGTTTTAAAGGAAGCGTCCCAAAAAACATGCACACCCTGCGTGCGGTAAAGGAATGTATCGTAAACAACATAATTTTTTTTGTATCGGAGGAAGGGAAAAAATTGTAACAGAAGATGTTTGGATTTCTGTTGTACTAAATATATTATAAATATATATTTTCAAAAAAAAAGCAATACTGTGAAAGTCCACTATACTATTCATCCCACAACAACTACCACATCTAAACATCTAGCACGTTATATGTTAAGGTGTTTCGTCTCAGCTAGGAACTGAGATTTAAGAGAAACTTTGCCAGGATTGTAAGAAAGGTATCAGAATGGCAAAGACAAATTTTGAACTGAACATGACAAGAGATGTGAAGGATAACCAGAGGACACAACCTGCGATTGAAGGGGGGTAAATGCAAAAATCTTTGGAAACACGACTTCAGTGAGCGAGTAGTAGTTATGGAACAGGCTCCCTGGGAGACAGTGGAAGCAGAAAGTGTTGCTTGTTTCAAGAACAGATTAGATAGATTTCTGCTGGAAAATAATATCTGGGGATACAGTATATAGTTTGGGACACGTCATGTCAAGCAACTGTCAGAATGGTGGAAGGCAAACTAGATGAAACTTGGGCTTCTTTTGCCTAGCAAATTCTTACGTTCTTAAAAATTTCAGTGGTAAAAAATAATTTTTTAAACTCTTTTCTTACTTTTCTCCATTTTTCCGCCACTTGACTTTGAGGCCTATTACACAATTCCCAATGTCATACTTGCTACACTACAGCCTCTTAGCAAATTGTACACCTTCTAGGGCAATAATATATGCATTTAACTTGTGTTTTAATTAATTGTGGGATCACAAACAACACACAACAACTTGCATTTATATAGCGCCCTTCATGCAGGGTAGTGTCCTGGAGCCACAGAGACACCAAACCAGGGGGACAGGGAGGGGGGAGGTGACCGTAAGCACAATCAAAAAGAAAGTTCTTTAGGTGGGATTTGAAAGTGGGGAGAAAGGGGGCAAGGCAAAGGGATTGAGGGAGGGAGTTCCAGAGTTTCAGGTCGTAGTATATGTTATGCATATATATGTTATATGGACAGATGCTCTTTAATTAAATCACAAGCATTGTTTGGATGAACTGAGGATACTGCATCCATATGTTCTTCTCTATTTATCTGCACTATATATAGGAGAGTTGCAACAGATTGGATTGAAAACAAAGTATTTTTACCACATGGAACATTTAGTTTTTCACCCTGTTCTTCATCCACTGAGCTCAAAGAACACTACGGGCAAATAGTAAGTGGCACTGTCTCCACTGTACATCATTGCACTTCTTCACAATACACATCTTACACCTCCGGCTTGGTCCTGACTGCAGTGCAGACTGACTTGCCTAACTCAAGTGTGATCTCCTTATTGCTGGTGAGAATAACAGCAGATAAGCAAGGGCTTTCAGAAACAAAATGAACAAGGTTTACACACAAGACAAATGACAGAAAAAATCAAAGAGGTTGGCTGAGATCCACAGAACATGTGCAGATTTATTCACATTCAGCAACATATATGTTATACACATATTAATACAGTATTCTTACATAAATATATCTACAAATGATGAAATGATGTGGAGTCCTGTAGCTCAGTGGTTAGAGCACTCGCTTTGCAAGCGAGAGACCTGAGTTCAATTCCAGGCAAAGGGCGAAACCTTGGGCAAGTTTCTTTACTCCACACAGAGCCTAATAATAATCCCTCCAAAACCAAAAACAATAATAAATTGGTCATTTTCAATCTACGACTGTTTGTGGGACATTGCTGTGCGCAATTGGCTGCCGCGTTCGCCCACAAATATACAGTCAATTCACTTTACAGTGTGTTCTGTGAAGCGCTTTGGGACGTTCTCCCGACGTGAAAAGCGCTATATCAAATGCAAGGATTATTATTTTTTAAAGAAAACATGTTGCTGGAGCCAGGCAACATCGCCTGGCTCTGCCAATGTCTCACACCAAAACCCTCATACATGCATTCATAACATCCAGGCTCGACTATGCAAAGTCACTGCTTGTCGGCCTCTCCAACTCCTCCCTCAATAGGCTGCAGATCATCCAGAATTCTGAAGCCCATGTCCTCTCCCGCACTAGGCTCCGTGACCCTATCACCCCCATCCTCGCCCGACTCCACTGACTTCCCATCACACAGAGGATACAGTTCAAGATCTTGGTCCTCACCTTCAAAGCCCTCCAGGGCCTTGCTCCCCCCGACCTCTGCGACCCCCTAACCCCCTACCAACCTGCCT